TCATTTTATCATGCTGTTTGTGGGATCAAATTGGCCTCAGTACACCATGGAGAACAACTCTACACTTCTGCAAAATAGTGGCAGTGGGGTTTTTCACATCCACCTCAAATATGCAGATGGAGATTCTGTGTAGCCCAAAAGATGACCCTTCAGATGGAGAAGGCTCCTTGACAGGCCCCCTGACAGCATCTATTTCCTCAATATTGACTCCTTGCCAACCTCCTCAACAGGACAGTACCCCCTCAAAGCGGCGTCAGATCATCAGCTTCTTCGGCTCCTCAGTGAGAACTGTGAATATGAACCGTGTGATTTATGTACAGATACATTTTTAAAAACAATTTTCATAAGTTTGAGCTTAGTTTTTGAGTTAGTAGCCTGTGGGTTTTCAGTGTCTGAAGTTAATTATTTACTTCTAAGTATTTCTGTAGCTGTGGTGATTTCTTTTAAAACAGTTTTTGAGTCCTAGCTTTAGAGCAAATAAGTTTGTGTAGATCAATTTGTTTTGTATCCCATCAAGGCAAATGACGAACCTTTCAAGGTTGTTCTTCTGAAACTTGCTTTTTAAGCTCAAAAGAAACACCCATTACTTACAGGGAGACTTCTGGTTTCAGTTTTATTTTGAGTTTTGAGCAATGCTTGGAACAGGATTGCTGTGAAGCCCAGGACTCCTGAGAACTGAAGGATATAGTGAATGAGGGGACAGCTTGGTTTTTGCGCTAAAATAGCAAATGCAGTGTGAGAATAACTTGCAGTGGTATGGAGGAGGTAGGTACAATCAAAGCATTCAATTTGACATTGTTTCTACCAATTGTCTCAATGTTTACAGTCAAAGGGGAAAGGCAGGAGAATAGCACCCAATTCATTCTGCAGAGGAGCGATACTGGCCTTGATACGTCCACACTGTTTCTCTCTCCACAGAAGCTGCCAGACCTGCTGCATTTCTCCAACATTGTCTTTTTTTAAGCACTAAACCATGATGCTCATTCAGAGCTGGTGCAGACATGGTGGGCTGAATGGCCTCCTCCAACACCAGAACAATTCTGTGATTCTACACTGCAGATAGGTGATAGGGAGGGTGCAGTTACATTTATTCACTTCTGTGGGCCTGTGAGGGGAGAGTTACATGTATGGGGCAGTGGGCACATCTACTCCCTGCTAATGGGGGGTGGGTAGTTCCAGACATTCCCCTCTACGGGGTTGGGGGCCAGTTAACATCTATTACCCTTTATGCAGGTAGGGGCAAGTTACATCTCTTCCCCTCTGTGGAGGTGGAATTACTCACAATTGGAGGGGAAAGGAGACAGCTACATCTATTTCTCTTCACTCAGGAGGTAGGTACATCTATTCCCCTCTAATGGAGAGGCAGTTATATCTATTTCCCCCTGGGGCGGGGGGAGGGAGGGCAGCATGGTAGTTATATGTAGCAACCTCTATTGGGAAAGGGGGGATGCAGAAGGGGTATAGTTACATATACACCCCTCTGCCTGAGGGAGGTGATAGATAACACTATTCCCTTTTATGAGGCATTATTTACATCTTTTCTATGTGGAGATGATCATTACATCCATGCCCTTCTATTGGGGCAGGTCGTTACATCCACTCCCCTCGACGTGGAGAAAGGGACTGTAGTTACATCTATTCCCCTCTCTTTTGAGTATTGGGGGAGGCAGTTGACTTCACTTCCTGGTTCCCATCCGGGTCTGTTTCCCGTCCGAATCCCCGCCACCCATCAGACTCCAGCTCTACGCATGCGCTGGTCGCCCCCTCCGGCTGTTCCTCGCCGCCATTACGAGCGACTTTTCCAGCTCGACTTCGGGGGCGGACACCGGGGGAGAGGGAGCTGATACAGGAAGTGTCTCCGTCTCTTTCTCTCCCTCATCCCACCTCCAACTGTATCCTGCCGACCCAGCAGGCGTCCATTTTCGACCACCACCACCCCGCGACCCACACATCCCCCGCCCCTTCCTCGGCGTCGGTGACAAATCTCCCGCATCCGCCATCCTTCTCCCCCTCCCCCTTTCACTGCTCCCCGGTCAATATCGGTGCCATTCAAACGGCCCGCTCGTTCCCTCGCTATCGGTGACAGGACTGCGGTCACTCACCACTCGTTGGAGCGGATGCCGGCGGATTCCGCTCGGGTTCCAGCCACGGATTGTCCACCGCCTCCATTACTCCTGTCACCATCGTCTGAGGCACCGGAACCGGAAACTGCTGTGAGCGGTTGGTGGGGGAAGGGGAGGAAAGCGGAGGGGAAGCATTCTGCCTCTTGGCTGAGGATCGTTCCAATTTCAATTATTCATTTTCCATTATTGTGACTTATCATTGCAAATTAAACTTTTTTTCTTTGTATGGGAGTTTAAATAATGCACCCTCAGAGGTCTTTAGGAAACAAATCAGTTGATTCTAAGTCACCTAAACATCTGCACGAGTCATCTCATCAATAATACTGTTGCTATAATGACAAGGGGTGGATCTGGACGAACACAGCAGGCCAGGCAGCATCAGAAAAGCTGACGTTTCAGACCCGGAACGTCAGCTTTCCTGCTTCTCTGATGCTGCCTGGCCTGCTGTGTTCATCCAGATCCACACCTTGTTATCTCAGACTCCAGCATTGGCAGTTCCTACATGCTCTTACTGTTGCTATATTTTGGTAACCCACAGAGAAAAATCACGCTTGCAAAATGTTTACCAGATCTACTAATATTGGTGATGACTGGTACAAATGCCTAGTGGCTTGGGATCAACTGATTTGTTTCCTAAACACCTCTGAAAGTGCATTCTTTAAACTTCCACGGTTACACACAAAGAAAAAGTTTAATTTGCAATGGTAAGTCACAACAATGGGAAATGAATGATTCTCAGCATTTGCTCATTACTAGGCATATAGTTCTCATTCACTTTGCAATGTTAACAGTCACACTTGTTATTGCAGACACATTAATGTGATAGCTGCAAGATTTTGTCGATCTCATATGTTGCAGGCAAGGATGTCCCGAAGCATGGTATTTTGGAGAGACCATTCAGACACTACAACAATGCATGAATGGACACCGCAAAACAATCGCCAGACAGGAATGTTGCCTCCCAGTCGAGGAACACTTCAACGGTCAAGGACATTCAACCTGTGATCTTCGGGTAAGCATTCTCTAAGATGGCCTTTGAGATACAGAACAATGCAGAATCGCTGAGCAGAAACTGATAGCCAAGTTCCGTACCCATGAATACAGCCTCAACCGCGATCTTGGGTTCATGCCATGCAACATGTGACCCCACCGTACCGTATCTGTAAAATCTTCCTTTGTGTCAAAACAGGACAATATCACCTTGATAAATTGTTATGATCTATCTTAATTAGATTGTACAGTTTTTGATTGCTTATTACTGTGGTTAGACCCTTGGCATGTGACTGTTATATCTTTCATGTTATTCCAGTCATTTGGTTTATCTCAGCACCCACCTTATTTTTAATTTTTTGTAATTATCTCTCTGCCTCATTTATCAGATTATAGGTCACCCTTCACTTGTTATTCAGCTGTTGACACTTTACTCACATTGTCTGACACTTTTGATCACCTGCAGAGACTTATTATTCAACACTCCACTCGCACCATATGTATGATCTTTTGGTCTGCCTACCTATAAACTGTGTGCGCTTACGCTTTTCTCTCACTTCTCCTGATGAACGGGCTACACTCCAAAAGCTTAAGATTTCAAATAAACCTGTTGGACCATAACCTGGTGTCAGGACATCCGAGTCTGCCCACCTCAGTCCACCACCAACACCTGCACATAATGTCTTTCTAGGTAGTAGAGAGCCAGATTTGGAAGGTACTGGAGAAGAAGCCTTGGTGAGTTTTTGTAGTGAATCTTGTAGATGGTACATGCCGGTGCTACTATCAGTTGATGAAGAAAGAATTTGGTGGGGGGGGGGTGTGGAGAAGAGAGAGAAAGAAAGAGATGGAAAATGAAGGTTCAGGTTGGTGGTGCCAATCAAGTGCTTTATACTGGACGTATTGAGTTCCACGTCAGAGCAGGCTAGATTGTCTCTCCGACACAGCTCAGAGGCACTGCTGCATTCTGAGGTACCTTACATCAATCTCATTTTAAATTAAAAATCTTGTCTACTGCTCAAGGACATTTTGACAATGACAGTCTTAATAGAAGTTTGTGACATTGCCACTAATCTTACCAAAACAGATTATCTCACTTCTATTTACAGATCTTTGCCTTGTGCAAACTAATTATCATATCTGCCTCCATCACAGTGGCTGTACTTAATTGAATGTAACCTGATCCAAGACATCCTGAAGGAGTGAAGGATTCTGCTTAAAATCAAGGTGTTCTCATCAACCTCTATATTAACACTTTAACAAGGTCTTTTTCTAAAAAAAATACTTATACAGGGGCTTGTAGAAGTGGAGGGGTAGCATGCCTAGCTCTGGGAAGACAGTCTGAAATCAAGGCTCACCTGCCTCAGAGGTGGGTCATAACATATTGGAACTAATTAATTCAAAATAGTTATTTTCAATTAATGGGCCTGTTCTAGTGATAGTGTCTCAAACTCTGAGCCAGAAAGATCTGATTCAAGGCCATTCTCTTCTGCAACGTATCCTGAGGTATCTGGACAGGTTGGTTAAAAATACTTCTTCCAGGTACTGGCCTTGAAATGGGGGTGAGCAGCCTTCTTGAACTACTGTAGTCTGTGTAGTATAGGGGCACCCGTAACAAGGAACACAAAATAGTTCCACAACAGGGTGGCTTGCAACATGGAGAAAAACGTGTAGGACGTGTATTCAGATTTAGCCGCTGGACATTTATTTAATGAGTATAAGTAAGAGGGTATGGAAAGTACTCACACAGGAACCCTGATATGTTGGCACTGGAATGGTGTACCAGTATTGGAAGGAAAGGGTTACGATACTATAGATGATAAACTAGTAGAAATAAATGTGAAAATAAAAATGATAGCAGTTGTATTTTTGGAATGACAACACAAGACGGAACCAGCAGAATTTATTGTGCAGTATGTACAATTCCAGCTATTAAAATTTTATACAATATGTACAAATTAAATAATCAACCTCAAAACCCTCACCTGTATAGAGCTTTTAGACTTAAAAGATTCCTTGGATTATGCAGAGACCCTAAACTGAAAACAGCAGAGAGAAAACGGTTTCTGCAGGTCACACATCTCAGGTCCAACAACTTTCAAACCATACATCTGACCAAGATGCCTGACACACATACGTGGACTCTCATTTTGAATCAAAACTGTTTCAGCCTCAATTTTGGGGGGTTTAAAGATAAAGACTGAAATGTTCAAAAAGGAAGAAAAGCTTATTCCTTAGGGAGCAGCCCTCATTCTCTCGAGAGCAGTATTCCGCCGTCAAAGTGTTTGGCCTATTTGACACCAACAACATTAAGCAGAATCAATGAGTTACAACTCACACAGGTGCCTCTATCAAGGGCACAGTGTTCCACTTGATACCACAGCAACAAGGGCAGGGAACTGCAGAAGATAGGACAGCTTCCCACACACTAGTGGGACCCATTACCTCCATCAGAACCCTGTACCCCACCCTCCCAATAGTGTTACAGATTAATGAATACTGCCACCAACTCAGACCTACCCCACTGCCTTATTTACTACTAGCACATCACAATGAACAGTGAGCATCATCCACAGGGTGTGGGAAAGAGACAGAGAATGACAGGCCTCACTGCCCTTCTGTTTACCACTGCAACTATGGAAGAAGATTCCTTGCAATTTCTTAACACTGTCATTCAGAGCAAAAGCGACAGCAAGCTCAATCCAGACACACAAATTTACTTGTGACCAATCTCACCCTCACAAAAATCATCAAGTGCTTACCCCTTCCCATTCCCTCCAATTAATAGCAACTCTCATGGAGACTGGACGCTATACAACATTCAGCAGCCCCCAAAAACACCTCACGTACTGATATACAGGCTGATCAAGTACCGGTGGAGTACTCTGTCCACAAGCCGCACTGAAAACCGCACCCCCACCACCTTCAGCATCTCATCAGAAATGGGAGTGCCTATTCTTCCTGCATGCAGTTTAATAGATGATGGAGGGTTCCAATGAGTCCCAGAGCCAGTATAAGGCTGTGAATGTGGGTGGGGTGTTATAATGGTGTGAGCCAGAAAGAGGAGTTCATGTTGTCACAAAGTGGGCCGGCTGGAATAGCGCAACGGCTGTGCTGACCTTCGTCCTCAGGGAGTGTGGGCTGTACAGCAGCCTTGGCTGTCAATCCCCTTGGATTCCACAGTCAGCCCACCCCTAATTAACCACCACGAAACAGCCTCAGGACACAGGGAGGTCAATCTTAATCATTCACAATCAGCCAACTCAGTGCAGACAGTGAAAAGGGATTTCCTGAAGTCTTAGCTTATATGGCTCACTGTCACACCAACTGGGAAGGCTGGTTCTCTTGCACTGTTGTTGCTGGCAACAACAGATCCCAACAAGATTGCTGTGAAACATCGGTCATTCACACTGTGAAGTGAAGTCACAAAAGGTTTTCTTTTTGGAAAGAGGCAATGTAAATTTAGAGCATGCAACAATTAAACTTTTTGCCACAATCCAAAAATTAAACCTTTTAATTGACAGGGAACATTGAAAGAAAGATGTACATGCAAAGAGATGATGGAGGCATCCCATCCAATGTAGTTTCTACTATCCTTGAGTACGTTGACAATATTGAAAAGAGATGGGCGGGAAGGGAGGCTGTTCCCCTTCCCTTGGGTCTGTTTATGTCGAGCGAGCAGATTCACATGCATGGCACTTTCCAAGCCTCTGAAATCACAGCTGGGACCAAGAACAGATGAGAAAAATTGCCAGCAGGCCAATCCAGTGCTAATCATCCCAGACAGGGGAATGGGAAACTGACAACCCTCTTTCCTTAACTAGTGAATGTTATGTGCACACAAATGGAACTCCAATATGTCTGACATGTAATAAGAAATAGGGAACTCCCTACAATAGATTTGAAAAGAAAAACAAAAAAGTGCTTTAAGCAAAATAAAACTCATCAACCACCAATCTTCAAGTCCCCAAAGACACAAGCTGTATCTATTGACTTTCAAACCAGCTATCAGTTTAATCCTATTGCAGAGGGTAAAAGTTAATGTGAAGTGTCCCTTCTGGAACTGGCTCCCAGACTCCTATCCAAGGCTCCTCACTCTTTCCCCACCAAAGATTCACAGGAGACTTATTTGGATACAGGAGAGATATTACCGCCCTCTCAAGAAGAGGGCAAACGTCTACTTGCTTGGTGTCCACTGATACTTCTGCTATGCATATACCATTTAAGTAAATCCTCGTTCCAACAAGAGAGCGACATTATTAAACAAACAGCAAATACAGAAGTTTAAAACATTCAAAAAGAGAGGGACAAAAGAGCGGCATGGTTCGGTACAATGAGGCTCAGTCCATTCAAAGTGGTTTCAATGCTCTTAGCAGAGATGGGTCTTGCCGCCTCTTGCCCTCAGGATGTTCATGCGGTACAGGAGAGGAACATTGAAGCTTTGGTTTCAGAACATCCAAGTGAAAAACGATTATTCCAGCTCTAGTCAGTTGGCAGCAGTGTTTTTGGTGGAGGCAGGGAGAAAAAGAGGAGAAGAGGTTGCCAAAGTGCATTGATGAGGGCAAGTTCGCAGACTGAATCCAATCTGTAGACAACAGTGGATGCAGGGCTACCGAGGCGTGGTCCTCTCATATGGCAACACCAGAGATAGACAATCAGATATCGTACTTTTGTTTTTGGATGCAGGGAGAGGGAGGAGAGAAACAAACAAACAGAAAACAGGGAGAGGGAGGAGAGAAACAGAAACAGGGGGAGAGGGACATGGCTGGACTAACTCACAAAGACACTTTACCAGATAGCAGCAAGAGCCCTGTCCAAACCCAACTACCCTTTTGAAACAGGGATAGGCAAAGGATTTTTTTTTTTGGGGGGGGGGGGGGGGTGAGGGAGAAGAGAACCTTGCTGAATTTCACTACAAGCGTCAGGCTGTGTGCATGGAGGACAGAACGAGAGAGAGTGAGAGGTCACAGCTGGTGTATCTGTTGCTTTTTACTGGAGTTTCTCGATATTCCCAGATTCGCCGCAGGGTCTTTGGCAGCGACTTTCAAAGCTCGGACTTCCTGTGTTAGCACAGGATCAATGGCACTTGGTGGTGGGTGGGGAATGCAGGGGTGATGAAAGACACCCTGGAGAGAGAGAAAGGGAGGACATACTGGCACCCTCTCTTGCCCCAGCCCGAGCCCTCCCCACATTCTCTCTGGGTCTCTCCCATCCTAACCCCAGTCTGTCTCTGACCCGGCGTCGAGCTGTGTAGTCCAATCCGAGTGGTCAGTGATGGGTGCTGGGCAGGTCAAGTTTCCGTAGCCGCCGCCGGCGCAGTTCGGCTGCATCTGGTTCACTGAGAGGGTCCTTCTCGTTGCCCGGGACTTCAGCTGAGTCAGGTACGGAGTATCCCACTGCCCCTTCCAGGTCACTCTGCCCTGCAAACATTCAACAAAAGACCAACGTTGCTATTTTTTAAAATTAAGGAAAAAACACTAAAACCCCTAAAAAGCTAACGCAGGACAGGAGAGAGAAAAAAAAAAACAGGACAAGGGAGAGGGCCCTTCCTTTCTCATGAACATTCCTCTCCAGCCTCCTACTAGCAACCCCCCCACTCCAACTACACCCTGAATGACTCCATTCTCCAGCCCGGCTCCTGCTCCATTTAACGCTCACACTTTGGACAGTGTACTGCTTTTAGACATCGGCTCCTGAACTCGTCTCTTCTCAGTTTGTCACCGTGTCCTTTGTCCTGTGGTTTGAATGGAAACCTCTTTACCCAGACAGTGGGTGAACGAGTGATGTGCTATCACAAGTGGATGAGGCAAATGAACAGGGTGGAAAGATGAAAAATTTAATAGATTATCATTCTGAGAGTTTGTATTTGGTTACTTTAGTGAAGGTTTCTTTTTTGAACCAGCTAGGTCAAAAGTTCCTTCTGGAACAGTGACCTGATCCCATACATATCAGGCAATAGATGCATGCAAATCCCTGAAATGTAAATGGAAAATTCTTTGTAATGTAGTAGCTTATGACAGGTGGCATAAACATTGAAGGCTTTTAGCTTGCTTCAGCTAATAATCAAGGACTAACTTCACTTACAAAACCCAGAGATTGAAACCTTTAGGCGGCTGTTGGAGGCAGCCTGACTTGGATCAGAAGCAAGTATTGTACCTGTCCGAGAGACAAGTACACCACAGTCCAGGACAAGCAGAATTACCTCAAAATAAAAAAAAAAGTTGTGTCTGTGGAACTTCCAGACCAGGAATGTTTGGTTATTAGAAGCTAAGAAAGTCCAAAGCTCTCAATCTTGACTATTCATGAAAGATGACTTCAGTTCACAGGTCAGAAACTGGGGAGAAATTAGTCAAACTTAATATGGAGTTATTATTTCTTTGGATTTTAAAATTGCAGTACTGATGGCATTGGGAATAGATTGAACCTTCATTCTGCTGAATGTTTAGGTTTTTCTTCCAATTACTTTCTCGAATTAGAGATTACTCAGTTTGCTTCTTTTTGGCTTTTGTCTTTTTATTCAATGAACTTCGGTTGTTGAATCTCTGCACCCTCATGTGACTGTTTTATGGTAAGATGACAAGGTGGGGTGGAAGGGAACTGGTGTAGAGTAGAAACACACGCAAGGAGCAGATGAGCCGAATGGTCTACTACCACGTTAGAAAATTCCTTGTCCTTCCAAACTCAGGATAACTTCACCTGTTCCTTGAAAGAATTCTCATTGGTAAATTTCCCTCCAATGCACTAGGCGATGTAGTGTGATGCTACATTCCTGTGCATCATTTATTGTTTGAAGTGTGCTGTCTGTGTGTGGACAGCAGTGTGATAGTAGAGGGACTTGACCAAGCATGCTCATGTGATGTTCACCAGCCAAAGCAAACTAACAAAAGCTTCAAAACTGAACAAAAATTTGTACTATATTTCTAAGAGACCTCTACATTCAGCAGGGGTTTTGCAGAACGCCCTTACAACTCGGTCTTGGACACTAGCATTCCAAGATGTCAGTAATCTCACATTTCCTCTCAACTATGTGGTGTGAAATCCAATTGGCTTCTTTCTTCCTATTTTCAAACCTCTTAAACCTTCTCCTTAGCTACCCGTTTGGAAAGACAAACAGGAGACAGGCCAGGTCTGAGAGCTCAGGTACAGTCCCACATTCAACATACTAAAACCTCTTCCTCCAAACCCTACCATAAAGAGAGTTGGTCAGCTCCTCGAAGACCAAACTGACTGGCCCCTCCACCCTGCTCCCCGCCAACAAACAATCCAGTAGAAAATGGTACCTATGTCTTCAGGTTGCAGGGGAGGTTGTGCAGAGGTGCTGTCGAAAGCAGGAGGTGGAGAGTCTCCAGTTGAATCCACCTGCGATCCAGATGCTGGATCTGTAGACTCCGTGCTTGGTGCTGAGCTGGTAGTTGCTGTTGGTCTGGGCGGACTAGAGAGAGGAAAGCAGTGGCACTTGAAAACTGATGCTTTACTCTCTTCACCAGGATCCCCCACTACAATGGATCCAGATTCTAATCACGGTCACTTTTAGAAACCGGCCAAGGATGATCCTCGACAATTAGAAGTGGACTAATGCCATAAGTTATCCCGAATCTGGAGATATTTATGACAAGGATGAGGGCGATGGTCCCACAGGGGAAGGAGCTGGCAAAGGAACGATGAGCCAAAGACAAGGCGACAGCCTCCTGATACTAATTGCTAGACTGTTAATCTGGAGACCCAGGTACGAAGCCTGCCTCGGCAGATGGTCAAATCTGAAAATCAACTAAAAAAAAAACCTGGAACTAAAAGTCTAACGATGACCATACCACCATGCTGATTGTCAGGAAAAACCCAAGTGATTCACTTATGTCCTTTAGGCAAGGAAATCTGCCACCCTCATTTGGTCTGGCCTACATGTCACTCCAGATTCACAGCAATGGGGATGACTCTAAACTGCCTTCTAGGCAATTAGGGTTGGGTAATGAATGCTGGCTTAGCCATCGATGCCCACATCCTGTGAATATATTTTTAAAAAAATGCTTCCCTCAGTGCTGCAAGATTTTACCATGCTGCATGTTCGGAAGAATCTGGCTTGAATTTGATCACTGGAGTTCAATAACTGTGCAGGGGCTGCAAGACACTGCATGCATGTTGTACAAACAGGCCGAGACTGACTGAGCCTTATTCAATATTAGTCCCTCCGATGTGGCAACCCAGCCTACCTGAGAGTAGCAACGACCGAGAGGTACTGGTGGATTTGGACCATGGCCGCATCCAGTAGCGTGTGAATATTCTGAAGGCACTGCAGTCTCGCTTCCAGATTCTGACGCTCCTGACCTTCCATTGCTCGGAGCTCCTCGTCTGTCAATCCGGCAAAGCCGGAAGGTGGCATTGGCATCGGAGGCATTCCTGAAGATGGGCAAAAATAAGTAAATAAAAGCAGCAGGAGTTCTTCTTCCACAGACAATATTACACCTTGGGTGTCAACTCAAAGCGGAGTAAATGCAAAACAAATAAAAGCAGTGTAATGCAGATGCTGCAGTATTGGTGCTGAGAAAACCAGAGTTAATGTTTCAAGTCTGGTTTGACTCTTTATCGGAAATGAAGGGAACTGGAAAGTTTCTGAAGGGTCTAGACCCAAAACGTCAGCCTTCCTGCTCCTCTGATGCTGCTTGGCCTGCTGTGTTCATCCAGCACTACACCCTGTTGTCTCAGATTCTCCAGCATCTGCAGTTCCTACTATCTCTGGAACTGGAAAGTGATGGTTTTCTTGTTATTGGTAAAGGGGAAATGAGGAGTAAATGGAACTGAGATGGTGAGGGTATCCAGAGCAAAAAGAAAAAAAAAAAAAAAAAAAAGAGGAGTGCTAATGGTAGTAGAAAAAAGTGATATAGATGCAGAATAGGTGTTAATGGTAGTTGATAGTAGCAGGGCTCCTTTGCTGAGAACAGACCCATTCAAACAAGACATCAGGGAGAAGAGAAGGGTGCAACAAAACGGAGCATAGAATTTATGGTCTGCAGTTATTGAACATAATGTCAACTTTTCAAGGCTCCTCTCTAGCATGAATCAGACTGTAATCTGATCTGACCAAACTGGCAGTCTGTTCTATGCCATGTGCCACAGTGAATTTATCCTTTAGTAACAACAGTAGAGCAACAGGGCAGTCTGCAGCCCAGCGTACCTGCAGGTTGGGACATTGCAGCTGCTTTGGGTTTAGCACACTGCCAACAATGGGAGACTGGAGTTGCCCACAAGCACACATCACATCAAGCCATCACAGCACATGCCTTACTCTTACCAAATGGCGGGGGTGGCATTCCCACCCAAGGAGCCGACGGGAAGGCAGGGAAGGAAAATGGAAATCCTGGGATCGATCCAGCAGGGGGTGGCTCCAAACCAGTCCCCGACATGGCCTCAGTGCTCCGGGATTCTTCACCATTGGCAGCTAGAGTTTACAGACAGCGACGCAGAAATGGGGAGGGAAACAAAACAAGTACATTAATGCAAAGGTTTATTGGGGTTGCTGGGAAATAAAAGGCATTTCAGAAGAGACTAACAAACCGCAATGGGGTTCAGGGTGGTTAAAAGGTCAGGCAGGTTTGCTTTGGTACCTGCCCCTATACTCAAAAAAAAAAGTAATGAGTGGCAGCCAAGCACTTTGGGATGGACAAAGCCTGAACTCCGGATTAGACAGGGCTAGCTGCAAACTAGAGTAAGCAGGGTGACAGAGGTGTTAATGCTACACAATCTCAAGGATCATAATGTTCCATTTCTTTCCTGGTTAACTGATGCAGAGCAAGCCCAGACAAAGAGGTTATGAAGTAGGGCTACTGCTGCTTCCCAACCGAGCTCCGTCAAGACAACACTTCAGAAAGGTTTATCCTACCCATTTCCTCATCCGAGGACATTCTTATGGCAAATGCATACTTTTAAATACTCTCAAAATCACTGTTTATTTCCTCCCATCCCCTAATCCTAATGCTCTCCGCTAATCAACTGTTAAAACTAGGTTGTTTGGTAGGGCCGTTGGGACAGATGATGTGAGTTACAGGGTCCCACTGGCAAATATTACACCCCCCAATCAGGGCTGAGAGAGAATTACATCCCCACATCCCAATGCTCATTCCAGTGACTGGGCCTGGATTGGGAATTCTACTCCAGCGCATGTACACTGGATGTCAGCCTTGGATTCAGCGGACTGCACTCAAATCAAGAGTCAGTATGTTCAGCGTGTTCAGGTCTTCAACCTCCAGAGCCAAAACACTGGGCTGACATTCCCATTGCTGGTATGGAGGGAAGAGCTGCCCTGCTGGAGGCCCAGCACAGGAGGAAGAGGTACTTAGGAGGTGGCCAGCATCAGGATCTCACTAACCCTCACCACTGCATTGCAATCTTGAGTAGCTCCTCAGCTTGGTGGCCACCTTCTCCCTTCGCCTGCTCTGGCGCTGGGCACTCTTCCTGGATTCCATCAGCAGGTCAGAGGTGATCGGGGAACATGTAGCCCCCTCCCAGGCTCCTTTCTCTTCCGCAATCTCTCTCGACCCTGTGAGCTGGCTTGCTAGCGATGTCACACTGGATGCTGTGCCCCTCTGTGAGGTCACAGGCAGCTGGCACCCTGCCTGCACTGGGATGTAGATTAAACACTTTACCCACACCACCACCACACACACACACACACACAAACACAAACATACCGGCCAGCAAGCAGGCAGTAAGAGGCTTTGGGTGGGGGGGCAGCAAGCTGGGTTCAGGAGTCACAGAGTCCACTCCAACACCTCAGCACAAAACGCAAACTGATCCAAAAGGTGGAGGCTGTGGCCACCTTTCAGATGGCAGACTAAACAGAGGTCTCAGTGGCTATGGATCCCACAGCCACTACATGGAGGCAACAGGAGAACACATGCAACGGGAGAAGTAAACATTTTAGTTGATCTTTCAATACGGTCATGGTGATCTTGGGCTTCAACCCCACTTTTCCCGATCACCAACAACAAAAAAAATGTCTCACTTACCAGTGTGTGTAATCAATAGTGACTTCACAACTCTCTGGGGTAAAGAATTCCAAAGACTCATCACCCTTTCAGTGAAATAATTCCTCATATCAGTGCTAAGTGATCAGCCCGTTGTCCTGAGACTGTGCCTCCGTGCTTTAGATTCCCCGACTGCCAATGTCTACCCTGTTCAAGCCCCTTCAGAACCTGCTCCAGTCACTTCCCTAATGCTCACTGTCAAACACAGGTTACCCAATTATTACCTCACTGGTGGGAGTGTACAAACTGGCTGCAAACAGTCCCTACAATACAGTGGGCAGGCTGATACTTTTGGTTTAAAAAGAAAACACACAGGCAATGTTCTTTCTTCACATTTCTCCCCTTTCCCACCAACCCATATGTTACTACTTACTGTTAGCCTGGCCCTCTGCACTGGTAGCAGCTGACGTGTTTGGCTGTGGTGCACTTGGAGCCGCACCAGGAGCCTGTGGGAAGAGGTGCTGACCCATGGGTGGCCAGAAGGGGAACATTCCTGGCAGAAAGGGTGGCATCCCTGGAGGCACTGGAAAAGGAATAGCAGCAGTGAGGACCATGCACACCACAGTGGACACTTGCATAACTCAAGAACACACAAAGCCTGCAGGGGGAACTTAAAGTACAGTTCTGCCTCTCCCACATTCCCCTGCAACTGTTGTTTCCCAATACATGAAATTTCCCCCCTCCCCAGCTGACCACTTCTGCAAAAGGCCCTAGCAGAACATTAGCCTCAGGTTTATACTTGCACCTTGGGAATGCTGCGACGCGGGAGGAACTGTCTTTTAGATGGGAGATCAGTGGAGCTGAAATGACCCTCCGAAATGGTAGCAGGGGAAGCTTTCCCTGGTGTCTGAGCTAATATTAGCCTTATCCGACCCTACTAAACCTCTTTTGATCGTAGAGTCAGAATCATACAGCAAGGAATCAAACACATTGCTTCTGTCAACTTTTGTAAAATTCCATTTGGTTTACAGAAGTCCTTTAGCGAAGGAAATCTGCCACCTATCCTCATGTGACTCTAGACCCACAGCAGTGCAGTTGGCTCTTAACTGCCCTCTGAAATGGCTGAGTAAAGCACAGCTTAAAGGCATATTGGGCTGGGCAACAAATGCTGGCCTGGCCAGTCATGAGCATGTTGAAGAAATAATAGAGAAATACAAGGAGTAACATTTCACTGCTCCACTCCCACTACCAATCCACACCAGTCCTGCAGATTTCCCCTTCTGAAATCCCCTGTTGAATCTGCTTCCTCCAAGGCAGCCTGACCACAACGCACTCAATGAGACCAATTCTCCAGGCCCTGGTTCATTTAAAATATCCCTTACTTTAAGCAGGAGATAGAAAATCAATCAATCTCCTGTGTGACACTTTCAATTACTCACCACTTGGTCTCAACAGTTTCCCACAGCTTGGCTTGGACATTTTACACCAAAAAAAAAAAGTGCTGTCGCCTTTGCTCTGGGATCTCTCTTTGGACCTCAAACACCAGATGGAAATAGGTTCCCGTGAACTCTTTAATCATCCTCATCTCAAATCCAATAGTGCTATACCCAGGGAAACGCGCTCGAATATTCATAGAATTCAGAATTGCTACAGTGCAGAAGTCAGCCATTTGGTCCGTTATTTCTACGGTTTTTTTTTAAAAAACAGCAAAAATAATTTAATGCTTTTAGTGCCAGTTTTATTCTGGAGAAGCCATTCTCCAAGGGTAGTACGCCCATCCTGCAGTGCAGTGCAGCAAAGCTTATTGGTCGCAGGTAGAAAAAGCGTTGGTGATGTGGGGGAAACAGGGTAGCGGACAGATTTAAGTTGTGACTCACGATTGGGTTGCTGGGGGACCAGGGGCGTCTGCGGCACCTGCGGCTGAGGCTGCTGTGGTGGTGTCTGCATGGGGGGCGTGACCCGCAGCACATCCATGCGACACGTGGGGCACGTCTGCTGCCGCTGGAACCAGGAACGGAGACAACTGTGGAGGGTAAAGAAAAGACGACTGTTAGTAGCTAGCAGGCGTGGAGAGGCGAGGCAGTGTACAGGGAAAACAGGCGGCAAAATGCACATGTCCATGCTGCGGGAGAACAGATAGCATGCAACACAGTCCCGACTGAGATTCCTGGCAGAACTGGGCAACAACCAGAGCTGGTTTGTAATTATGTGGTGCAGGATTGGAGGATGGGTGAGGGTGGGGAGGGGGTGCATTGGCATTAGCACAATGCTATTTACAGTCATGGAGATATACTGCACAGTAAACAGACCGTTCGGTCCAAATCATCCATGCCGACCAGATATCCTATATAAATCTAGTCCCATTTGCCACCATTGGCCCCAGATCCCTCTAAACCCTTACTGTTCATGTACCCAACCACATGCCAATTAATTGGTATAATTGTACCAGCCTCCAACACGTCCTCTGGCAGCTCATTCCATACACGCAACACCCTCTGCGAAGAGCTGTCCCTTAGGACCCTTCTCTATCTTTTCCCCTCTCACCTTAAACCTACGCCCACTAGTTTTGGGCTTTCCCACTCTGTGGAAAAGATCTTGCCTATGTACCCTACCCATGCCCCTCATGATTTTATAAACCCTTCAGCCTCTGACACTCCAGGGAAAATAACCCCAGCCTATTCAGTCCCTCCCCATAGCTCTAACCCTCCAAACCTGGCAACATCCTCCAATCTTTCAAGTTTCACAACATCCTTCCTATAGGAGGGAGGCCAGATTGAACGCAACACTCCAAAACTGGCCGAACCAATGTCTTGTACAGCTGCATTTTTTCCCCATCCATCTAATGCTCTTTGTTCTGTGTCCCATCAACACCAGCAGTTCACCCCAGGGACCTTGCTTCTCTCTCTGCCAAGCAAGGATGTTAGCGCGAAATTGGCATCTTCATCATCCTATCTGAGACTCCATTTTCAAGGAGCTATGAACCTGCACCCCAAGGTCTCTTTGTTCAGCAACACTCCCTTGGACCTTACCATTAAGTGTACAAGTCCTGCCTTGATTTGGCTTTCCAAAATGCAGCACCCAGCATTTATCTAAATTGAACTCCACCTGCCATTCCTTGGCCCACTGGCCCATCTGATCAAGATCCCATTGTACTTAGAGGTAACCTTCTTCGCTGTCCAACACATCAATTTTGGGGTCATCTGCAAACTTACTAACCATACCTCCTATGTTCACGTCCAGATTAATTTACATAAATGATGAAATGCAGTGGACTCAGCACCAATCTTTGTGGCACACCGCTGGTCAGAGGTCTCCCGTCTGAAAAGCAACCCTCCACCACAACACTCTTCTACTTTGAGCCAGTTCTGTATCCTAACGGCTAGTTCTCCCTGTATTCTGTGTGATACAACGTAGTTAACCAGTCTACCATTAGGAACCTTGTCGAACACCTTACTGAAGTTCATATAGATCACATCTACCGCTCTTAGACATGATGACTCATCAGTACCCTGATGGCTGGTTTTGCTCGAGAAATATTGGGCTTTGGACACCAGGGAAAACCCGGTTGCTGTTTTTATTTTATATTAACAAAAAAAGAGGGATTGTCTTAACAGCCACGAGACGCTCAGACTGAAACTGGTTTTAGTTTCATCTGAAAGACATGGAGTGTCGGGCTGGAGGAGGGTTGCAAACCTTTGAGGTGAAGCCTGAACCTGCAATCTTGAGGGAGAAGAGGACTCCACCGTAGAGAGACAAGGCACATGGCAATGCCGGGGGTGCAACGCAAACAGCTTCGAAGGGCCGAGGAACAAAAAGCGAACCAGTCACGGGCCCTGCATCAGAGCACTAACTGCTGGAGCTCCAGTGGACAAGTGGAGATGTGCAGGAAGGAGAGGATCAAGTCAAGGCTACAAGTCTCTGCACTATTGAATTTCGCGCTAACGTCCATTGCTTGGAGAGAAAAGCAAGGTCCTTGGGGTGAACTGCTGGTGTCGATGGGACACTGAACAAAGAGCATTAGACGGATGGGAAAAAAGTAGCTAAGGGCAAGAGAAGTAGGAGCAGAAGGCCATTCAGCCTACGCCACTACTCAATGAGATCATAGCAGATCTTCCACTTTAAATCCATTCCGCCAACTATCCATCAGTTCTACAATAGCACCAGACAATCAATCCATCCATTTTGAAGAAGCAGTGAAAGGATCCACAACACTCAGTGAAGAAATTTCTCCAACTCTGCTCTACAGAGAATGTTAGGTTTTGCTCTGCATGGGAGAGTTTAGAATTGATTAGAAGAACAATTGGCAATTGGGAGATCTATTGGGATCTCTCCACTCAATTTCATTGCTGGATCTTTAAGCTTGATCTGCACAGGCAGATGGGTGGGTGGTTGGTTGGATGGGAAACGTCTGTTCCAAAGGCAATCTAAAATTTACCAGAAGTTAAAAAGATTAAGCTTTGTTTTGGTGTTTATCCATCTGCTTGATGGAATAGTTCATTAATTTTAAACCCTGTCTCGCCCTGGATTTGTCCCACTTGTACATGGAGGGAACATTGCAGATTGGCTATTCTCAGCCTCACTCACCTGGTGTGGAAGATATGGTTACACGGCAGGCGTTTGGCTCCAGTCACCATCTCCTCACGGCAAATGATGCAGACGTTGTCGGTTTGCTGGAGGTCCTCTGGACTGGCATCGGGATACCTGCCAGAGACAGACAGATAAAAAGGTATGGGGGGCTTAGCACATCACAAGAGACTCAGTGCAGGGAGTCACATTCCAAAGTGCACGAGCGGGAGGACAACAGAGACAGAGGGTGGACCCTGTGCTCCACTGGCTAAGAGTAGTGACTACAAACCCTCAGGTTCCAATGATACAGCATGGGTGATGCTGGCAACATATATTTGGTAGTACAATATGGGTGACAGGTCCAGTTGAGGGAGGCTTTAGCAAAATGTACAAGTTCTCGGGCCAAAGGCAGGGAAGGTAGTGTGTTTCAGGATATAAAGTTTCACTTAGATGCCAATTACAGCATTGACCCCAGTCGTGGTCACCACACTTCAGGAAGGACGTGGAGGATGTTCACCAGAGTGGCTCCAGGGCTGATGAGGTGGTTTGGAGTGTTTGGGACTGTTCTCCATGGAGTAAAAAGGAGATTGAGAGCAGATTTCTTGAAGAATAGGACAGTTGTACATAAAGCAGACAAAGCAAAGCTGCGTCCATTGACAGATGGAACAAGGTCTTGGGAGCACAGATTTAAGGCTTTGCAGAAGGATGAATAGGAAAAAGAACAACATATTTTATTAAATGCAGCAAGGAGCAATTCATTGCCTAGCAAAGTGGACTCTAGGTGAAGTGAATTTCTGTACTGTAACAGCTTTGACCTCCTGACTTCCCAAAGCCCACCCACCATCTATAAGGCACTCATTAGAAGTGCAATGGAATACTCCCCACTTGACTGTAATTTAATTGCCAACCTTCATTATTCACTCCCTCTGTCACTTGACACAGGCATAGCACTGTATATGATCTACAAGATGCACTGCAGCCTCTCAAGGTTCCTTCGACAGCAGATTCCAAACCCACAACCTCTATGCCCAAGGACAAGGGCAGCAGATTCATCAGAACACCACCCTCTGCACATTCCCCTCCAAGCCACACACCATGTTGACATGCAATCACATGGGCCATTCCTTCAGTCTCTCTGGGTCAAAATCCTGGAAATCCCTCCCGAATTGCAGTTCTTGGTGCTATGTTTAAATAGGACAACTCCCTACCACCTTCTGAACGGCCAACAAATACTGGCCCAGGCAGTGACAACCAAATCCCAAGAACAAATAAAAACGAACAAGGGGGAACAGCAAAAGATCATACACAAAGTTCTACCAAATGCTACACAGGACAACAATCAAAAAGGGCGAGTGAATGGAGTTGAGGTCACCAAGCTCAGTACTCACAGTGTGTTCATGTTGCGAATAGCTCGTCTCGACATGATGGCATCAGTCACTGCCTTCTTGAATTGCCTGGAAATGGAGGCAAGGAGACAGTTAGGTTTGTCCGATTGTCACAAGCTCATGTTCTAACACCAGTTCCTTTGCACTTCATCACTCAGAACACAGCCACTTGACCCGAGCTGAAGGAAGCTGGCAGCAATTAGGCGTTTTTTTTGTTGGTTGGGAGGTGGGAGGGAGCCTTTGGCATGGGGGAAATAGGGGATAATATTTCGACATGTCAGTAGATGGTTGTTTATAGATTTCCAGGCCATGTTTAACGTGACTTGGTCCAGACAGACAGCTTGCCTTCGTCAAGTCTGATTTCCAGTCGTGTTTTGGGAAGGCTTCTGTAACACCCTGCACCCAAAGTGATCCTTTCCTCTCAATTCCCCTCCATATTACTTTATTCCAACCTTTTTAAATGCTTTCTCTGAAATTTCCTTTAAAGTATCGTATGTCTCATAATTCCCCAAAGCCAGGGGTTGTCTCGGTCGCTGAAGTCAACATTCCTCCCTCAGGTAACTGGATAAATTCATCTTGTTGGCTAGTTTTTGGTGGCGGGGTGGGGGGAAACGATCCTGTTGTGCCTATGAGCGGTTGGCAGCATTTGCTAACGCCATTGCAGCTCAAAAAAAAAAAAAAGAGACACACCAATGAGGCCTCTTCTGGAGTACTGTACCCAATTCTGCTCACCCTGTTATAGCCAGGATATTATTAAACTTGAAAGGGTTCAGAAAAGATTTACCAGGATGTTTTCGGGAATGGGATGCTTGAGTTATAAAGGAGGCTGGATAGGCTGGGAACATTTTTCACCGGGGTATAGGAGATGGAGGGGTGACCTTATAGACATTTATAAAATCACGAGGGGGTATAGATAAGATGAAAGGTAGGTGTCTTTTCCTTAGGTTGAGAGATTTCAAGCCTGGAGGATACATTTTCAAAGGTGAGAGGAAAAAGACTTAAAAAAAGGACTTGAGGGGCAACCCTCCCCCCCCCACCCAAAAAAAAAAGTGGTTTGTGTATGGAATGAACTTCCAGAGGAAGTGATGGATGCAGGTACAGTCACAACATTCAAAGGACATTTGGATAAGTACGTGAATAGGAAAGGCTGAGGGATAGGGGCCAAGTGCAGGCAAGTGGGACTGGTTTATTTGGGAACATGGTCAGCACAGACTGGTTGGACTGAAGGGTCTGTTTCTGTGTTGTATGACTATGACACATGAAGTGTGTTGCTTTGACATAGCAACACTAAACTGCTAAGAAATCGGACCTTGATGGCACAGAGTCTCAAACTCTAACCCAATCTTGCCCAGCAGCTGAGAACTCAAGTTTCTCCAGAAACACCCGTCACCTAGGAGCTGCTGCAGTCATCGAGACTACCTGTGCAGGAGGATGGGGGGGAAACTAAACACTGCTTCCTTCTCATGCAAGGACTCACCTCATAGTCAGGTACATGGGACGGATGGCAAACAGAGGGAATGTGTGAACCTTGATCATTATGGTCATGAAGGCCATGTAGAGCAGCACCTTAATGAACCCTGAAACAGACGGAAAGATCAGCTTTGACAATAAGAGCAGCAGCCATGCACCACAAAAGAGAGATGACATTATACGACAGCCTGGAATTAAGCAAAGGACACCCAGGATGAAAGTTACCAGCTGGTCTTCGCTGCATTCTACCTATCAGAGTTCAGAACACATCCGCCCTTTCAGAGTCTCACACCCTGCGATTTTATAAGCCACCCCAAACACCTTGCCTGTCTGGTCACTCCCTCATTTTTACTGCTGTCCATACCGGTCAGAAGCTCGGTGTAGAGCATATACACAGCCTTGTTGTCCCAGGGATTCTCACTCTGAAGATCAATGGTGTGCAGAATGTATTTGATGAATATGGTCAGCACCATGGTGAGGAGAATGGCATACTGCAAGGGAACACAGGACAGAGGTTAAAGCATTAGCCCTACAATCATGGCATCACCACCACTGCCAAGAATCTCATTATCCCGACTTATACCACTGTCAGTATCTGCCATTCATTGTGTAACCAGAATAACTGGCAAAGGGTAATTGACAGAATAACTGGCAATTTCAAAGTATCGCTAGCTAGGCTGGCATTTATTGTCCATCAAGAAGGTGATGGTGATGAACTGCTTTCTTGAAATGCTGGGTGTAGGCAGACCTATAACGATGTTAGGAAACAAATTGTAGGATTTTGACTCAGTGGCACTGAAGAAGAAATGGCAATATATTTCCAAGTTAGGATGGTGAGGTGAGAAAGGACCTTGCAGGTGGTGTTTCCATGGATCTGCTCCTCTTGTCCTTCCTGTTGGTAGAGTTGGCTGATTTGGAATATGCTGCTAAAAGGAGCCTTAGTGAGTTCCTGCAGTGTCTCAACCTGCAGATGATACACACTGTTGCTACTGAGAGTCAGTGTAGAGGGAGTGAATGCTGAGGGTAGCGGACAAGGTGCCAGTCCAGTGGACTGCTTTGTTCTGGATGGTGTTGAGCTTCCAGTGTTTTTGGAGCTATACTCATCCAGGTAGACAGATAGCATTCCATTACACACCTGACTTGAGCCTTGTAAATGGAGGTCAGGCTTTGGAGAGTCAGGAGGTAAAAGGTAATCCTCCCTTACTGCAGGATTCCTAGCTTGTAACGTGCTCTCATGATCACGTCCCAGATTAAAGATTTTGTACTTGAACATTTACCTACAGTCCAGTTGTCGGCTGTATTGTAAAAGGTGACCAAGATTTAAAGGCAGAGATATGGGCTGAATTGTTTAATTCTGTCTGTATTGGCCAACAGTGTCATCTCCTCTTGAAGAATGGCACTTAGTACTTTGATGGTTGTCTATGGGCATGTTGGAGAATCCACAGTGTTTATTTCCCAGTAACCAGGTAAATAGCAGGACCATGGTTATGTCAGTATTACTACTTCCAAGAGAGGAAAAGAAAATTTCCAAAAAAAAAAAACAAAAAAAAGTATTCATTCCCTGTTTGTAGTCCATTAGTCATTCACCACTGTCACCCCACATATCCTTAAGAGGAAATCCTCACCTCAAAGCCAAACACCAGCTGGACGGATGCTCCCCGAGTCATGATGCTGTGACAGGCATGGTTTACAAACAACAGATCCAACAGAGCCAGTAAACTTGTCAGTGCTGCAAGAGAAAGAAAGTCAGATGTTGCTTTAAAATCCCAAGCATGAACATCTGGATACTGCAAGTGAAGCTCATTCCATTGCAGGTCAGCACAAAGCACAAAACACATTCCCAGGATAACTATATTGCAGAGTTAGAGGCAGAGTAAAGCTCCCTCAACACTGACCCGCTCAGATAATCCAAGGATAGGTACAGCTCGGGATTAGACAAAGTAAAGCTCTGTCTGGACTCCCAGGGCAGGAGCTGCTAAGATTAGGTTTGATGTAGAACAGCACATCTCCCATTGAGAATTGTAACATTTACATCTTTCCCAATACATACTGTGCAGTGTATTTCAACTCAGTCAGGGATAAGAGGACACCAATCAGCCCAGTGAGCCTGTTCTAGCATTCAATAAGACCACAGCTAACAAACCCCTCAGTGCCACTTTCCTGCTCGACCTTCAATCCCCTGTTGTTGTGAGCCTATCGGACCCTGTTCTGAATGTACTCAATGACTGAGCCACCACAATCCTCTAGGGTGAGATTTACAAAGCTTCACCACTGTCTCAGGTGAAGAAATTCCTCCTCATCTCAGCCCTAAATGGTTTAGTACTTATCCTGAGACAGCGCCCTCTGATGCTAGCATCACCAGCCACCTCACCCACATGCAAACCCTGCAGGAATTTAAGAAGTTTCACAGAGATCAGACCAGTCCAGAAAATCAGGGCAAAATTTCATCACTCTCTCCTCATTGACCCTGCCACTCTGTTGGCGAGGGATGTTAAAGGAGTCTTAGTCTCATTTTCAGCAGCACAAAAATCAATCTTTATTTGGAGCTCCTTACAACACAGCCTGGAAGAGATCATTGGAAACAGACTCCAAGACACCACCCCCCACCCCTCCCAGCAGGAAATTTATACATTCCACCTTAAAATGGTCTCACACAACATCAACATCAACATCAACATCAGCACTTGCCACCTCCCCTCTGCCCATTATGCCCCTCCCTAGACACCAGCTGCACCATCCTGAGTGGGAACTGTTTCTTACCTAGTGATGCTGCAATTATTTTCTCCAAGGTCATAATGACTATGTAATGCTTCGCAATTGCCCCCTTACAATGCTGTTTTCCGGTGTTCTTTCATTCGGTTCTCTGTTTATACCCTTCGTTGTACATCATTAGGCCCTTTGTGTTTATACTAATGGTTCTTCAATACCCCCTGCTGATCAGATAGGAGGTTTCTATCTATCTTTAGCAATTTGCAGAAAGGATGTTAATTTGTTAGTTACACTTAATTTCAGGATACCTATGTGTACAATACATAACAGCAATTGCTTAAGCCTTTGATTATGGCGGGATCGGACTTTCCCTTCTACACTTTACTGAATAACAGGTTTTCACTTTCACTCAAAGGTTTTTATGAGACACTTAATTATCTTCTCTGGTTGCTATGAGCATGGAGGCCACGATTGATTGTGGAAAGTGCTGTATTCAACTAACAACACTCTTCACCCATGGGCAACTCCAACAATTCCCCACTCTAGACCCTTGGTCTAGGATTAGTCTGGTGAATCTTCACTGTACTCTCCTTCTATGGCAAGGCCATCCTTCCTTAGACCAAAACCGTACACGAAAACCTCAGGTATCACAAAGACTTTGTACAGCTGCAATAAGACACTACTGCCGTACTCTAATCTGACAGTCAACGTGCATGCTAGCTTTCACTGATTCACAAACATGGACACTCGGGTCCCTTTGGCCACCTGCAATTTCTAACCTCTCACCATTTACAAAAATAATCTTTTCTTCCCCACGCCACCCTAGAAAGAGGAAAATTCTAGACTATTCACACTATATAATCTCTGCTCTTCTTGTCCTGTAGATTTTCTAATTCCTTTCATTTTACAGTTTACAGAGAGTGATTTGGAGAGGTCAGCAGCTTACAAGCTGAGACGCATGGCAGCAGTAGTATTCCTTTAAAGGGTGGCACAAGCAGCAGCGCCACCAGAAGGCTGGCTGCTCCCTTGACTGTGGAACGTTTGATTTAACAAGTGGTCCAGTCTCCACAAGCTGTGGCAAACACCGACAGGACACGTCAGCTCGAAGAAGCAGCAGCTGTGTGGAGCAGTGAGCGGGAAGGTCCCCGAATTCAGTATTTAGTAACATCTATGCAAATCCTCAGCACCTGCCTCTTGTAGATGAACTTGAGGGGACCGGGGACTTTTGCGCAGAAACTAATCTCTTCGATGTTAGGTGTAAAGCAGCTATTCGCTGATCGTCGGAATCTGAAGGCCCAACTCCAGAAACCTAAACAGATCAACTTGGATGACACAGTCAGTGCAGAACTACATGAGCTACTGCACTGTCAGAAGTGCCATTGTTCAGATGAGCGTTAACCTTTTCGGCCGTCTCAGGTAGATGCTAAAGATCTCAAGGCCAAATTTTTTTTTTTTTTTTAATGAAAAGATTCTGTTGTGGGATGTGGGCATTGCTGGTGATGCCAACATTTAACATCCAGCCCCAAAGCCCCCTGAGAAGGTGGTGGAACATCCTCTCCAAACTGCTGCAGCAGTCCAGGTATTAGCAGTCAGTGGTAGATATTGCTGTTCAGGAGGGAGTTCCAAGACTTTGACACAGCGACAGTGAAGGAGCCATCAATACAGTTCAAAGCCAGGATGGGGCAGGATTTGCAGCTGGGGTTCCCATATGCCCGTGGCCTTTGCCCTTCTCAGCGGTGGAAGCTGCTGTGGTACAAATTACTGCAGATAGCACACCACTGGCATGCTCAGGGGTGGACTTGTTGAGCATGGGCATTCCCCCCACCCCCCGAGTGGCTTGTTCCAACACTTGTTCCTCAATCAATATGTAAAAGCAATTTGGATCATGGTCACATTGCTATTTGAGAGAGCTTGTTCTGTGCAAATTGGTCTTTGCATTACCTCCTACCTCTGAAAAAGTACTTAACTGGCTGCAAAGTGCTTTGGGAATACCTCAAAGTCATCACAAGGTGACAAAATCGCAAGTCAAGTGATCTTGGAGACCTGCCTAGAATCGACAGGCCAGGGAAGGAAAGGATTGATACAGTGATAAGAAATGCTGGCGCAGTGACAAACAAGAGGTCAGCACAGTTGTCAACAGGGACCGAACAGGTCAACTCCGCATTTTGTCACGAGATTGCAGGGCCTTGTTGGCAATTTCATCGAAACAGAAAGTGGCTTTGACTATGAGCAGCAGCAGTAACTTTTCCCCTTCTCTCTTGGGATGCCTCAGGCTCGGAGCAAGGGGACACGCTTGATCGAATTACTTAAAAATCGGGGCTTGAGGAAACGATTTGGCTCCAGAACAACTGATCCAGATCCCACAATGACCTCACCCCCTCAGTGGGCGGTGCTACCACATTCTCCCGGATCATCCTGTTCACAGAAGCTGACTACACAGATAACATCTGCGTCCCCACTGGACTAAACGTAGATGGCATGAAACTCAAGAATGACGTGAAGCCTTCACTGAACCATGAGGCACAATACTCACAGACAACTCGGAAGTGAAAAAGCCACGAGATGTTTGGACTCCGCTCCATCTGTACAGAAACAGAAAACAGAAATATGTTCAGGTGACGTGCACACAATCTACGACAGAGCAATGCTGCACACAAAACAAGCTGACAGTGGGGGGGGGGGGGGGGGGAAGACTTCTGGTCTCTATTCTCCTGGGCTAGCATCCAAACCCACTGTCTGCTGGCATTGGGATCTCAATGGAATGAATTAACAGAGTCCCAGCCTTAGCAGGAACAAGCTCACAGCATAAAACTATCCTGAATTAGTAACCTTACTTCATGTGGCCGCTGTAGGAAATGGCAGATGCTCATGAGCTTTTGATTGAAACAGTCTCAGGGGAGCTTTACTCTATCTAACCCTGTGCTGTCCTTGTCTGGGAGGGTTTGATGGGGGACAACATTGGGGGAGCTTTACTTTCAGATGAAGAGAGTAGACAGAGCTATAACATGTTTAACCCATGCTACTCTGGGAGTGCTTTATTAATAATAAGCTAAAGGAAGGGGCAATGTGGATGCTTGGATGTGTTCCATTCCCCTTTGCAGAGAGAGGGGGTGAGTTGGGGAAGATCCTTCTTTCTATTCTGCTTAAAGCCAGTGACAAGCCCAAGGCTTAGACTAAGAAGGTAGTTGGAAGAAAATTGGAAGCACCAGTCTCAGAGACCAAGAGGCTTCTACTGTAAGCCAGCACATTGCTGCAGTGCATGGCACAGAAACAGTGAATTGTTTAACATTTGGATTGATCGGGACAAAACTAGACCTCCTTGACAATCCAGGCTGGCAAGAGGCTGCTAAAACAACAAAAATGGCAATCAACCATTCAGGCCATCATGCTTGTGCAGACTTCAAGGAGTTATCCCCTCAGTCCCACTCTTTCTCCCCCTCCACTCTGTGGGCCTGCAGTTTCTCCCCTTCTCAGTATTTATCCAACTTCCTGTTTTGAAAAGTTCCACCGGATCTGCTTCCACCGCTCTTTCAGACATCGTGTTGCAAATAGCAATGACCCATCAACTGTGCCCCCTCCACGCCCCTCAATCGTGTCTGACATTCTATCAGGCAGTAGGGAGGGAATAGCTGCAAACCAGGAGCACATGGGCAGCCTCATTCACATCTGCAACTTTCACTTCACAGCACATAAACGGCCGACTCATCAGCACCTCAGGAGAGTGAAATACCAGAAACACTTACAAAGTCCACCCTGTCCTCAGCTAGCCAGTGGAAGCACTTGAGAAAGAGCAGCAGGGTGAAGAGGGCCACAAAGCGTGGGCTAAAATCATCCCGGAAGACGGTGAATGCCAGGCAGGTCTCAGTAACAGCGTACCAGGAACGCTCGATTAAATGCTGCGGAAGATAGGAAGGAAACAGCTTTAGAAAATCCAAGTATCTTGAAATAATGAAAGAGATCCTCAACACCCTCACAGTCAGCAGGAAGCATCCGTTCTGCATCCACTCCGTCAGGGCCCCTACAAAAATTTTGTGCGCTTCAACGAGATCACTTTTCATTCTTCTAAACTCCAGCAAAGAGAGGCACAGTCTCCTCAAGGTCAATCCCATCACCCCAGGGATCAGTCTACTGAACTTCCGTTGCACTCCCTTGAAAGCAAGCATACCTAGAGATGTGTATCTGTACACAATACTCTATAAACCTGCAGTAAGACAGCTTTCATCAGGTACACAAACCTGCCTTGTAATAAAAGAGCCAATATACTTTTGCCTTAATTGCTTGCTGCACCAGTGCAGAACAAGCCACAGTCAGCTCATCGAGAGTCAATGGATTGAAACCAAAATGGAAGACTGTCCCCTCACTGGAACAGGTCTACTTTGATGGCCTTCAGCCCATTCAGCTGACGGAACATTGGGAAACTTTGCACAGTCATACCAAGGCATTGCACAACTGCACCAAGTCAGCTTTACTCCTGTACTCGGATGTTTTAGCAATAATGGTGAATATACCCTTTGTCTGACTGCTTAATGCACCAGCTTTGAATGACTCTCAAACAAGGACATCTAGGTTGTGTTGGACATCAACACTTCCTTACCTCCACTGCCAGCATAAAGTGAATAAAGCAATGAGAAACAAGTTCAATAGCCACTGGAGTGAGTTAAGAGCCATGTGTGTAATAATACGCTAGATGTATTTTTCTGATTGTATGAAACCTGGAGGGAAGTCTCAGTTGGTGTCAAGAAGCATCTCCCAATAATTCCAAATAAAAACCAAAAGAACTGCGGATGCTGTAAATCAGGAACAAAAACAGAAGTTGCTGGAAAAGCTCAGCAGGTCTAGCAGCACCTGTGAAGGAAAAAAAAAAGTTAACGTTTCGGGTCTGGTGACCCTTCCTCAGATCAGTTCTGAGGAAGGGTCACTGGACCTGAAACATTAACTCGGTTTTTTCCTTTACAGATGCTGCCAGCCCTGTTGAGGTGTTCCAGCAACTTCTGTTTTTGGTCCCAATAATTCCACTCAGCTCTGAGAACTCTACTCCAGGCAGGATTGGTATCATGGCGATGTTAATTCAGATGCTGTAATGCTGAGTGGGAAGCACCAATGGAGGAGACAGTGAAAACACAAACATTGCATCGTTCCTCCTTCAATACCACAATCAAATGCAGCAGTCGGACTAACTTGCTCCTACATGCCAGTTACTGATCTGTGACCACAGATGTCCCAACTTTGGTCAGCCAATTAATCAGCCGTCAAGGCTGACTAGACTTGCAGCAAAGTTCTGGTTTGGAGGAAGTGAGTCGAGGGTTGGCCATGTGGAACAACGGTAACAACATTCTCACTTGAAACCTTTACAGAATGCAGGGAAGTTGGTGGCCCTCCTACAAACAGTCAGGTGGCATCTCCCTCAACCATATTACAAACAAGCGTTATGCCTTAGTTGTTGGGTGACTGGCTCCTTGCAGCCTGAAACTTCACAAGGAGAAACTGACAGGCATCAGGCTATGTTAACAGTGTTGGCTGCAGGGAGAGACAGAGGAGGCAGCTGACGTAGTTTCTATCCTTGACCAGTCCTGGTGGCCACACAGACATTTCAACAGGGAGCCAGGTGGTGATTTGGATATTTTCTCCTCATTCACACAAGGCCAGGACACTAATCCAGTCACTCCCTCATCCTGTTCTTTCCCATCATTTCTGCAGTGGTTTATCCAATTCCCTTTTGAAAACTATTAAGTCCATCTGCACGATATCAGACAGCACACTAAACCCTAATCACTACTTCAGTTTCAATAATTCCTCCTCACCCGCTGCCCCAAAGACTGGTGGGAAATGTCATCTTGTCAGGCTTACTCACCCCAATTTTCCTTTCATTCACCTGGAGGCCATTCAGCCACTTCACGTTGGAACAGCCTGGCTTTGATCTGAAACATCACTCCTCAAACAAAATCAACATCCCCACCTTGAGAAATTCCACAGTGTGTGTTTGCAGCCCTCCGCCCCCTGCAAAGGAGTTCATCCAAGTCACAGTGGCCATCTGGGAAAACACAGCTGTCAAAGATGTGCTCAGCAATATCCTACTTCCTGAAAGGGTAGCAGAGATGCGAACCCTCGAGACACTTCAGAACTGTGTACCCTTGAAATGCCTGTCTACTCGATACTAGACTGTGCACCAAGTGCTGGAAAATGGAATTAGAGTAGATGGATGCTTGATGACCAGCAAGGACATGATGGGCTGAAAGGTCTCTTTTCATGCTACAAAAATTCTTCCTGCAATGCCCCATCTGTGCCCTCTGGTGACCAACACTTAAGCAGTTGGGAACAGATTCTCATCATTGGCTCTGTCGAAACCCAAATAAACACATGTCAAGTGCTCCCTTCACTGTCTCTACTCCAAGGAGGACAAGGCCAGAAATCAACACAGAATGGAAAAATTCAGGTCTGGCAGCATCTGTGAAATTCCACAGATGCTGCCAGACCTGCTGAGTTTTGCCAGCACAGTATTTGGCTTTTAATCAAAAGAATAAGCCCAGGCTGTCCAGTGGCTTCACGTGACTGGAGTACCCTGGAGACATCCAAGCAAATTTCCTGGGCATCCTTTCATGAGAACCGCACCCCCACTACCAAATATTCCAGCTGGGCCAGACCACTGCTCTCTAAAGATTTAGTACTTCAATCCTAGCTTCAGTACTCCAATCCCAGTAATCTCTACCAGCTGCTTTGTTAATCCTCCCCGATTTGTGGTTTGTGCAACAACATTTTGAACCCAGTACCCATATTAGCTCAACCTCTTTCCTGCCTTTTCTCTAGAGTTCAGCAAAACTATACAATCATACAGCATGGAAACAGACCCTTCGGTCCGATCAGTTTGTGCCAACTATAATCACAAAGAAAACTAGTCCCACCAGCCTGCGCTTGGCCCATCTCCATCCAAACATTTCTTATTCATGTCCTTATCCAAATGTCTCTTACAATGTTGTAACTGTACACTTATCCACCACTTCCTCTGGAGGTTCCTTCAAGTATAAACCCAATTCCTCTCGTTACTGAATGCACTCTCACAGTAACTTGCAATTGATAACTGAGAGAATTATATGCCGAGTCACCAACTGCACACCATTGTAATTGGCACTTCGCAGTTACATTGCGATAGCCCAGCAAGGCCAGAAATTGCAACAGCCATTATAATCTCACCTCCATCTCCGCAGCGCGCAGCTGCCCAAAGAACACTTTCCGCATGAACTTGCCAATGAGGAAGACCAAGACAAATGCCTGGATGTACAGCACCTGGTCAGAAAAGAGAATAACCGTCATGCGAGATGCATTCGATCAAAACCGCTGACAAAGTCAATCTGGAACAGATCGATGGGGGTTGCCCGTGCAGCTAACTGGCCAAAAACCAGACCAATTGGCACATTTTTTCAGCTTGTCTCAGCCGGGTTAGGAAGTTTGGAACGCAGGCCAGCAATCCTGGCTGAGCTGCTGAAGAGTGCTGCACCAAAAGAGCCACCATGTACCAAATGAGACAGTAAGTGGAGGTTCTTACAGGTGGACAGACTGTTGAATGAAGTGGTGGTGGGTCTAATTTTTTTTGTGTGTCAGGGGCTGCGTGGTGTTTCTTTCACCCCATGGCCTGAGCCAACATCGTTTGAGGGAACAAATACTTTGTTTTAATTTTCAAAAAAATAAAATACTGACAGCACGTGGTTTATTTCTCTTACTTTGGGCAGGATCCCGATCAATCAGTTGTCCTTGATATATTTCATGAGGTGACAGTGCTTACACTTTCAAACAGAAAATATTGATCGTAAGATGAACTTTTTTCTAGCCTCAAGATACTTTGGGATAATCAAATCAAAATACGAAAAGACATTTGTCCCAACAGTCCACTGGGTGTGCGTATTTGCACACCAGCTCCTTGGCAAGGTTTTTAAACATGCACACTGCAGTACTAGGCAATTGTTTGACAGAAGAGCTGCAATTTCAGCTTTTATGGAAGTCAGTCACCTTGCTTTCCCAAAACAGTCTCCACTCAAAGGGTGAAAAGAACAGCTGTACTACAGTAAGTTTGGCAGCTACTTCCTTGTTAACCCATAAAGTTGCAAATTCTTGAATTCCTACCAGGGCTGCAGGTTCCCCTATATCAATTGGAATGTAAGAGCTTAGCACCATGACCATTACCTCCAGGGCCCCTGGCTCCTTTTCACTTTGCAGTACCTAAACATGTTAGGCAACTCCACTACTTTTTCACCATCACTACTTCACCTGGATGCTCTATATAACAACGACACTGTGTTAAGAACAGCATTTCAGTTACCTATTGCTCATCACTGTTTGGAGTATGCCCTCTTGGCCATTGGCCCCTATTTGATTGAAGAGAAATTCCTGGAGTTAACTCTAATAGCTGCTTGGGTGCCTCCTTCCTTGCCACGTCTTCCAGAAAAGGACAGGCACAACTTCTCTTACCCTGTCCAGCCACCCGACTCCAACAGCCACAATCACTGTCCCGTCAGGAATAAAGTTTCTAACTATTAACCAGAGTCTGCCTCCCACTGCCAGGGACCCGGTTCTGGGCGGGGAGGTGATGGCCTAGCATTATTATTGCTGGACTATCAATCCAGAGGCCCAGATAACATTCTGGGCAACGAGATTCGAATCCCGCCGCAGCAGATGGTGGAATTTGAATTCAATAAATATCCGGAATTAAGGTGATAATGATGACCGTGAATCCATTGCTGATTGTCAGAAAAACTCACCCGGTTCACTAATGTCCTTTAGGGAAGGAAACTGCCATCCTTTACCTGTTTGACCTACATGTGACTCCAGACCCACAGCAACGTGGTTGACTCTGAAATGTCCTCTGGGCAATTAGGGATAGACAATAAATTGAGGAACTCTTGGGCTGAGTGGATTGTGTGGGGTGACTTGTTGACAAAGTGCTTTAGTCTCCTTTGTAGTTCCTTGGCTAATCTATGTGATGGCGTGCCTGGCAGGGAGACTATGGGTCTAAGGGGTACTTCCAATTTGTGTACTTTCGGGAGGCTGTAGAATCGGGGTGTGTTGGTTCCTTCGGGTTTCATTCTTAGGAAGTCTGTTTTGTTGATCTGTTTGAGTCGGTTTAGTGTGTTGAGGATCTTGTTGCCTAGTTGTGGTGTCGGGTCTGTCTGCACTTGCCGGTATGTGTTCTCGTCGGCTAGCTATGCATGTGCCTTGGAGAGGTAGTCCCATTTATTTAGTATTACTGTCATGCACCACCATAGACAATAAACGCTGCCTGGCCAGTGACAGCCTCATCTTGTGAGTGACTAAAGAAAAAAAAATTCCACCCTCGGGCGACTGTTTCCCCGTCTCTGTGCAGATCTTCTCTATGTGCTCCAGTTTCCTCCTCAATCCAGAGATCTACAGGTTAGGTGGATTGGGAAATACAGGGTTATAGGTTAGGGTGGTGGGTCTGGATGGAATGTTCTTCGAAGGGGTGGTATGGACTCAATGGGCTGAACGGCATGCTCTCACACTGTAGGAAGTCTATGATTCTAAATGAAACGCATTGAGCACAAGTGAAGTTTAAACTGGTTTCTGGGACAGCACAAGATAATTTAGTATAAAACAGAAATGCAGTTGAATCACTGATAGCAGGGGAGCAAACCAGAAGGGAGTCAAAATGTCTAAATGCAGCCATTGTTAACCTACTGCACCATTAGTTAACTCAAGCTGTTTGGAGATGTGGTTCTCTAAAGACCGAACAAGGGAGCTTACAAAGTGTCTCATTAACCACCCCACCACCCACCCCGCCCCCAATCCCCCAGGGATGTGATGCTCAACAGTTTTTCTCTCACCTAAACCTGCACTGTTCATTCACAGAGCTACACACCTGCAGCAGCGAAACCAGAACCGGTTCTGAAGAAGGGTCACTCAACCCAAAACATTAACTCTGATTTCTCTCCACAGATGCTGCCAGACCTGCTGAGCTTTTCTAGCAATTTCTGTTTTTGAAACTGAAACTGGCTTGAGCTGACAGCAATCCAGGCTAGACTCCCAATGCAACAGGAAAATATTCAGGAGATGCTTTCTCCTCAGGTGAGGCAAACAGAGTCTTTTCTCTGCTCTCTCAAACAGACACATGAAAGATGCCACTGCAATATCTGAAGAACAGGGGATTTTCCTGGAGTCATCGCCAACATGTCTCCTTCAACTAAAACAGACCATGGGGATTCTACACAAAAAGGGTGGCCATGTTGCTGTAAATTAACAAGGACAGAAACAGTCAATTTACTGAAACAGTCAAATCCGAAAGCAACAAGACCTGCACAACTTTCAGGCTTGGGTTGATAAGTGCAAGTACATTTGTGCCATGGGCTAGGTAATCACCACCCCCAACAAGAACTAACTATTCTTTCACAGGATGTGGGCAGCCCTGTTTAAGTGAGCATTTAGCACCAATCCCTAATTGCCCTGGAAAGGTGATAAGCTGCCTTCTTGAATTGCTGCAGTTCCATAGGGGTGTAGACACACCCACAATGCAATTAAGGAGCGTGTTCTAGGATTTTGACCCAGTGACAGTGAAGGAATGGTGACATAGTTTCAAGTCAAGATGATGAATGGCTGGAAGTTGAACTTCCAAGGAGTGGCGTTCCCATGAACCTGCTGTCCTCATCTTTCCTGTGGTATACGTCACAAATTTAGATGGTGCTTTCAAAAGAGTCAGTGTACGTTCCCTCAAAGGTATTGGCTCGTATTAGGTACAGCTCCAGAGCTGCAGCCAGGAAACTGTGATGAGGGCACATTAAGTTGTGCAAACTTGCAATCTACTGGCCAGTCTGAGTGAGAATGAAAATCAGTCATTTTACAAGATCAGCTGTAAAAAAAAATTAAAGCTCAACAAAACACTAGAAAGGGCACTCCTCCTCCAGCCCCACTTAAAACTCAGTTCGACTAAGTGATTGTTAAGAGGTTCACATTCTGAATTGAGACTCAGCAATACACCCAGCTCTGTTCTTGGGGCCACAAGATCAGCTGAGGATTGTCGCAAGTTCAGCCTTTGCTGTAGCTGTAGTAAAGGAAAAACAGGAACTAAACTGGACCATGTGCACTCGTAATCCTTACCAGCCATTTAACAATTCGGGTCCGAACTCCCACATCCATTCCACTTTGTATGACACAATTAGACAAGGGAGCGTAAATGCTAAGGCAGACTGGTTGGTCGAGGGATCGGTGTCTATGCCACATACTTCATACATACTGCCAGCATATTCCCAAATGTGTAATCTGCCCCCATGCCACCCCAAGTCATTAACCAGCTGTCCTCTGGCAGAAAGCAAACAAACAGTAATGCACAGAGAGAGGCTTTACCACAAAGATCACTGTGGTTGAATAACCTGTCTAGATAGGCACATCTTGTGGTCACTTGGCAGGAGTACCACAGAACAATGAAGAAACTTGGCAAACCAGTGCCTTTTGGGGCAGGGACAGTTTGTGTCACATTGGTGAAGCTCCAAGTGACTAACATTCTAGCACGCCGAAATACAAGACCAAAACACTCAATGGAAAGTTACCTCAAAACAACCAGTCAGCTAAGGCCCACATGCATCTTAAAGGAGTAATTAGGGCTCCTTCCATATCATAAAATAAAACAAAGAATTGCAGATGCTCGAGACCTGAAAAAAAAAAACAAATTGATGGTGAAACTCAGCAGTGAGAGAGTCACTGGACTCAATACAATAACTCTGCTTTCTTTCCACAGCTGGTGCTAGACCTGCTGAGTTTCACCAGCACTTTCTGTCCTTCCATATGGTACTGGCTACAAGAGCCACATGGCAGTGTGGAACACTGACAAAGCACCTGCCAAAACAAACAACAGCCCCACAAAAACAGCAGACTCAAAGACAAGGCCAAAAAGCCAAACCAAAGTACAGAATTCACAGAAAATTACTGGCTAGGAGCAACAGCTCATCCTCTCCCATGATAGAATTATCAATCTCGAAAATTCAGGATTGACAGGGCTAGCAAATCAGCTCACCCTTTACAAAATACACTTTGCTCCAATTTGAAAGCTGCAAGAATCAAGAGACCCACAAACAAAAAGCTCACCAATCTCATTAAACACAGTCATGCAAGTGCTTAAAGTTAAACATTAAAGCAGTGAGGCGACTGCAGAAACAGTACAGAAAGGCACATTAACGTCACCGGTTAGTGTAACAAAAAGGAGCCCAATGATTGGTAACACATGAAACCTTAGTAAACATTTTACCTTTTCCAGGTTATTAATTTACTCTTTCTGTGGCTTCTGAGGGAGCTCCTGCAAATGGATCTTACCTAGGACTCTAGAAGGGTGGAACTGCACCTATTTCCCAATCAATCTTACTCTTCCCCGGACACAGTGCTGCAGTATATAGTGCTCTCACCCCAGAGTTCAATAACTCACACCACACCCGTGCCCTCCCCCTGCCAATGACTTCAGCAGCAAAACCATGCCAACACTCCTACTGGCCAACACAAAGGGAGGCATCACACTACTGGATGGTGCTATCTTTCAGGTCAAACCTCCAATGGAGGATCCACCTGTCCTCAGCGACTACTTCAAAGAATAACCAGGGACCTCTCCCTGGTGAGTATGTTCATCCTTCAACCAACATCACTGGTCGTTATTATGCTGCTTTTTGGTGGATCTTGTTGGGTGCAAGCAGGCTGCCACATTTCTGATAACGCTGATCACACTTATAATTTTTCATGGGATACGACTGCTGCTGGTTCAGCCCAGCATTTATACCACATCCCCAATTTCCCTGGAGAAGTTGGTGGTGAGCTGCCTCCCTGAGCCAGCGCAACATGTGCATTTTAGGGACATTTGCAGCGCTGTTAGGGAGTTCCAGAATTTTGACACGCTTCATTGGATGTAAAAAGGTACCTTTTCTTTCTCTTAATCAACTGTTCTTATTATTTTCCATACGTGCAGCAATCCAAAATGTGGCTCCGCACTCGAAAGACAGAGAGAGTAACTGTCACCCACAAACTTACCGCCATACTTGGGCTGGATTTAGTCAGGTACACCACAGTGGGGTAAAACTGCCGCTTCAGGTAATAGGCATGGGTGACCACAGTTGTGGTGAGCACCAGGCTGGCAGCGGTGGCCAACGTCGATCGGACCATCGCGTCTCTCCCTGCAGGAAACAGCTTGCTGGAAATTCACCGGGAACCTGAGTCCCGGAACTGGGCCGTGGCAAAATGTTTCTTAAACAAAAGAAAAAAATCAGTAAGTCCTTGACCACCCCTAGTGAGTGGGAAGGTGCGTCACTCCAAACAAGGATCACTCAGGGATCTGCTGGCACTCCTTGGCTAGACTTTGGGATCCCACTGCTGGATTTAAAAAAAAAGAGAAATGCAGATGATCACAATCTCCATAATATTTTGAATCCAAAGCACGATACAAATTCACAGACTGCAAGATGGGGCATGATACAGTTAACTGAGCTGGGGTCAGGTTGGGGTGGGGGTTAGATTTTAAACAGCTGATGATGATCATGGGGAAGATTTAAACAGTTCGTTTAATGCATTCGTGGGACGTGGGCATCACTGGCTAGGTCAGCATTCGTTGACTCTTAATTTGGAATAGGCAATCAAATTGCTGTAAAACTGGCATCATACGTAGACCAGACCAGCTCAGATCAGATCAGGACAACAGATTTCCTTCCCTAAAAAGGGCATTAACAAACCTGCACACCAGATGGCTTTTGAAACAATGGATAGTGGTTACTTGGTCACAAGGCCAACTTTAAACAGTTTTTTTTTTAAACTGAATTTAAAATGTCACCATATGCCATGGCAGGATTTAACCCTATGTTCCCAGGGCTTAAAATTTGTTGTTCTGGATTACTAATGTGGTGACATTATCCCTAACGCCCAAACCTCTCCTTTAAAAAAATTGGGAGTATTTCAATCATCAAAAGGCAGAGGCGAGATAGTTAAACATGCACAAGTTTTACAGGAGAAGGGTGGGGACATATTAATAAGTGGACAGGTTTTAGAGGACTGGGGAAAGTTTTCAAAACAGGGTGGGCTTCAGAGCATCAGGACAAGATCCATAAACAGATCATGGGCAGAGGAGCTGGGAAGACATCTAAAACAGGTGGCTGAAAGGGATCAGAGGAGCTGGAGGCGACATCCTAAACAGCCAGAAAAGGGTGGGGGAAGAGGGAGAAGGCGGGATTTCAGAGGAGCTGGCGGGGGGCGACATCCTAAACAGCCAAAGGGGAGGGGGAAGCTTCAGAGGAGCTGGAGGCGACATCCTAAAGAGCCAGAGGGGGTACTAACCAGTGCCCTGGGGAGGGGAAGCCAGGCCTCAATCCCACAGACGACACTTCCCAGTATTTGGCCTGCCTGGCGTAAGATGCCCCCCGCCCAGTACAGCAAAGCGAAAACAGAGAAGGGCAGGGTCACCACACACACCGTGGGTACCCCCCGCCAAACTTCTCAGTCCCCAGGGTCGGACTCACCGACACCAGACACCCTCGGAGCGACGAGAAGACTTCAGACAACTCACTTCCGGTCGGAGAGGGTTCGTCCGCCCTCTTTATCTTCCCCCACTTCCGTTCTCACAGCCCCGGCGCCCGGGATTTTGTCGTCCCCCACCCACCAGCAGCGCGGGAGAAGACGAATCCCCGAACAAAAGGACCGCATCCTCACCGTCTCCGACAGCGACAGCTGCTACTGCTCACGACGGCTCCACACACTTTCCCGATCCCCAACCTCACCAGTCAACGGCTGGGAAATTTTGTTTTTATGCTTGTACAGAAATTCCTCCCACCAGCAGCGATCAAGGATACCGAGTCCGTGGCCGCTTCCCATTGGTCACCCCACCGTCCAACGAACGCACAGCAGCTCCGCGAGGCCATAGATGGCCTCGTCCAATCAGAACCCCCGACGATCTCATGTAATCACCAATCAGGAGCCAGGACCTCCCGTCTCCGATCTAAACCAATGGGATACCGCGTCGTGTGACGCGAGTGGGGAGGGCGCAAAGTGAATCCTCGAAGGACGATTTTGAAACATATTAATTTTTAGGGAACAAAAATTATGATATGACGAAATAGAGAAATCTTTGGAGGGTTAGGATTTTAACTTTCCTTCTGTAATGTGTTGCTGTGGAAGCAGAAGACGGCGGGTGCGGGGCGGGTCACGCGGCGGTTGCCATGGTTGCTGCGCGGAGGGGCGTGGGTGGACCGCTGGTCGCCATGGTCACCGTGCAGCAGGGTAGTCGGCGGGGGTGGAGGGCCCCTGGTTGCCATGGTTACCCGGCGGGGCCGGCCCGGCGGTTGTCAGGCCGAGGGGGCGTGGCCATCAGGTTGGTGGGCGATCATTGGTGGCGACGCGCTGACCTCAGCGCGGCGGCAACCTATGAAAAGCCGCTTGGCGTGCCGGGAGCTGGTAGGTGTGGCACGTGCTTCAGTCCAGGTGAGAGGAGAATGATGGCAATATGGTGGTGGGAAATGGGCATCAGATGTTGTGCTGAGGCAGAGAAAGGATCAAATGTGTTGGGGTGGGGTGTCGGTGAGCAAGTGATGAGATTGGGGTTGGACGCTGGAAAGCTGAGGAGGACTGATTTTATTGTCACATGAAGGCTGGGTATGGGGTGGTAGGTCGGAGAGTGAGGGTGGGCCTAAAACAAGACATCTGGCTGAAGGGATCAAGTAGAAAGTGGGGAAGGAAGAGGTAGGTTGAAGAAGCAGGCCGGGTATGTTAGTGGGGTGTGCTGGGAAGGGAAGGTTTTGAGGTAGGACATTGAGGTATTGAGTGAGCAAGATGTGGGGCTGGATGGGGATAAGTAGGACAATCTGTTAATGCTAGGATTGAGCTGTTTTCTCTTGTTAGCTTGCTCCTCCATTCCATGTGATTGTGCCTGGTTGTTTGACTCAGTGCCCTGTTCTTCAATCCTTTGATCCTTTTTCTTTTAAGCACTATAACTCTCTCTTTCTTAAAAAAAAAAAAAAATTCATTGTTTTGGCCTTAATCACTGCTTCTGGCAGAGAATGTCATTGGTTTGCCACTGCCTGGGTGAAGATGTTTCTCCTCATCTTGGTTTTAAATGACTTGCCCTATATCCTTAGACTGTGGCCCCCTGGTTTTGAATTCCCTGGTCAATAGGAGCATCCTTCAAGACATGGAGGAGAGTGAGATGCAGGGAGAGTGAAGGATGATGTTAAGAGCTGAGGGGGAAGCATGGGTTATGTGGGATGGAAGGTAGGATAAATGGAGTGGGAGGCCTAGGATGTTAGGGGGCTGGTGGAGTGAATGAGAGGCAGGGCTTATAGTTGTTGAGTGGGAAGGGAAGATTGTGATCCCTCTGAAATGCCTACAAGAACTAGTAATCTGAGGACCTCAGGCTAATGTTGCAATGTGAAGTTTAAATTCCACCATAGCAGCTTGCAGTAGTCCAAGAAAGTAGCTCACTACCATTGACTCAAATGCTGGCTGAGACAGTGATGTCTGTATCATGTGAATAAATAGTTTTAAGAAAGCTGGTGGATTTTCAATGTGAATTGAATGCTACCTAAAAGGGGAAAGATGAGCAGTTTTCTTAAATATGTAGTACTTGGAAATATGTTTTCTGGTTTGAAATTTTGAGGTATTCATGATGTGTTGGACCAAAATGTGTCATTCACAAGTTTTTTTTTCTTGTTTCTTCCCTGTCCCTGGGTAATCCCAGTAGTTGTGGCAAGTCTTTTTATACATGACTGTAAAGATACATCTGTTTCAGTGCCTTCTGAAATAGCAAATTTATCTGCTGTCCTTGCTTACAAGAGTCTCCAGACTTACAATAATGGGGCTACCTCCTGAAACCCAAGCCACTCAGCCTGATGGCAATTGCAGATGGGGCCACCAATGCTAGTTTTGACAATGACGTCCACCTCAAAGAGGGTGGCCAAAAGCATCTAGAAGTTGGGGTTAACAAAGTGTGGAGCTGGAGGAAGATGAGTCATGACCTGAAATTTCAGCTTTTGTGTTCCTCTGCCTGGCTTGCTGTGTTCCTCCATCTCCACACTTTGTTATCTCTGACTCCAGCATCTGCAGTTGTTGCTATCTCAGAAGTTGAGTCTTTTTTTAGCATGCAACATCACTTATTTAGGTTTTTTATTCACTTGTGGGATGTGGGTTTTGCTAGCTGGGCCAGCATTTCTTGCCCATCCCTAGTTGCCCTCGAAGGTGGTGGTGAGCTGCCTTCTTGAGCCGCTGCAGTCCTCCAGCTGTGTTGACCCACAATGCTATTAGGGAGGATTTTCACCCAGTGACAGTGAAGGAATGGTGATATATTTCCAAGTTAGGATGGTGAGGAACTTGGGGGGTGGTGGTGTTCCCATATATCTGCTCCCATTCTAGATGGAAGTGGTCGTAGGTTTGGCAGGTGCAGTCTGAGGATCTTTGGTGAATTTCTGTAGTGCATCTTGTAGACGGTACACACTGCTGCTACTGAGCATCGTGGATGTAGTGCCAATCGAGTGGGCTGCTTTGGTCATGAGACTCTTCCTTACAGGGGTGAGTCATTACCTTTTGAGGAAAAGAGTTTGAATGAAAGTAAAGCCTTTCTCTACTTTTAAGTCAGAAGTAGATTTTTGATTAACTGGGGGCTAAAATGCACTGGTGTGTTTCAGTGCGGAAAGGAGGCCACAATTGGGATCATTGAGCTTGCTGAATGGTTGAGCAGACTTGAGAGGCTGAGTGGCCTCCTACTCTTTGATACGTAGAGAAAGGAGTGAGTGCAAAAGAAGGTGCCCACAGTAAGCATAAGAGTGGGATTTGTGATGGTTAGACTATCGTGTTGTCTTAGTTCTGTCTCCTCCCTCCCAAATGGCACCCTGAGGTGGATGATGTCAGCTGCCTCAGGGGCTTGGAATATACTCTAAACAGGCATGTTTTCTTTAAAATTGGGCAGTCTTTCTTTTGTCTCTCTAAGATCTTCATTTGAAGAGCTGGTGCAAACATGATGGGCTGAAAGGTTTCTCTGTGTGATGTAACTGTTCTGCATCTTAGTTTGAGTATCCTTTTACTAAGCATTTGTATAAAGGAAAAATGAGCTTTATCCTTCAATTAATTTTGTTTTGCCTTAATGCATTGAGATCAGCCTGATGCACACGTTAAGATATCAGACGGAGGGAAATGGTTTTTCGGGTTACTGGTTTGATCTGGTGTTCTTAAGAATGTGCTGTAACTGTAGAAAGTTGCCTGTTCCAAACTGGCTTTAGAAAGCTGTGTTTATTTGCCCTGCAGATCGTCATGGGGTACTAATCTTGTCTATTGGCCTTGAGATGTTGCTTTTTTTTTTGGAAGTTCTTCCATAAGTGGTATCCTTCAGGCATGTTGCTCATTCAGTGTAAGTGTGAGCTGGTAGTGAGTGTCACTATGCTATACCATGCCTCTGGGTGTGCCCTTCCTTACACAATGAAAATGTTTTTTCCATCCTGTGCCCCACTGTAGAGAGTGTCCAACTGTCTTCTCACTGTCATCTCTAATGACAGACGTGTTGTTGAATCTGGGGTCTTGCTGGCTAGTGGTGTTTAGGTGGTGTAGAATTCAGTAGAGCCACAAAACCCTACTAAAAAGTTAAGGGAAGAATTTCTTCAGTAAATGTGAAATGACGTTGCTATAGGAACAGCAGGTGCTGGAGGGACTTGGCTAGGTCTTGCAGTAATTGAAGAGAAACAGAATTAAAGTTTCAAATTGAATGTGATTCCTTTTTAGAACTGAAATTGTGTTGCTCTTATTCCATTTGTGATGCATTTGGCTGCAGCTGTTGCAGGATGAAAAACTAGACTAGTTAATACCTTCACTTTTTTCTACTATGGAAACTGTACAACGTGGCTTAATGCTGTAGACCTGACCTTAGAATGATGTGAATGATAATGTATATAGTCTCATAGGAATCAATTGATACCAATATTAACTGATTTTGCCAACAAAAATTCATGTTTACCATTCACTTGCTGCTGAAGCCAAATTCTTTTCTGGTGTAAATCTACAAATAACAGTTGTACAGGACAAAAACAGACCCTTGGTCCAACTCATCCATGCCAACCAGAAACCCTGCATTAATCTAGTCTCATTTGGCCCTCTAAACTCTTCCTATTCATGTCCCCATCCAGATGCCTTTTAAATATTTTAATTGTGTCAGTGTCCACCACTTCCTCTGGCAGCTCATTCCATACATGCACCACCCTCTGTGTGGTGGGGGTGGGGGCGGGGGGTGGGCGGCGGGGGGTCGGGGAGTTGCCCCTCAGGTCTCTTTCAAGTCTTCCCCCTCTCTCCTTAAACCTTGCCCTCCACCTATGGATTCCCTACCCTGGGGAAAAAAGACCTTGTCTATTTACCCTATCCATGCCCCTCATGATGTTATAAACCCCAAAAGATCACCTCTCAGCCTGGGGTTTGGGGTGGGGGTGTGAAAAGCCCCAGCCTATTCAGCCTCTCGTCAAAGCTCAAACCCTCCAAGCCTAGCAACATCCTTGCAAATCTTGTTTGCACTCTTTCAAGTTCAACAACATCTTTCCTATAGCAAGGAGACAAGAATTGAATGCAGTAGTCCATCTTCAAAATAATGTGCTAGTCTAGGATTCTATCAATAGTTGACTTAATAGTTCTTAGCTCCTTCTTGCACTACTGGGTTAAAGTTGGTTGGAACAGCCCCTGAGCTGGCAAATCCTTACTAGTGAGGTGACAGGAAAGCATTGAATTTGACCTCTGAACTATTATTTGTGCAGAAGTTGAACCAGTCTTAGAATAATTTCCAAGACAAAATTTAAAAATGTTAAGTCTGACTTGCTGGAGAATTGAGCAATGACTGTCATGCATGTATTTTTCTGTACAAGAAGAAATGTGGAGATTTCCTTGGACCTGCTAATTGGTCTGTGATCTTATTCCTCTTTTTTTTATATTGCAGACCACCCCTAATTGCCCTCACTTACCATCATGAGGCACAACCAGACCCGCGCTCAGAATCCCTCTTCGGTCACCGTTCAGGTGAAGCCAGGGGTTTCAAAATTGTCACATCAGAGCAGGGATTTGGTTGTTCGGAAGCCTAGGCTACACGAGAGGGGTGAAGGGGAATCCAGCAAGATGTCAAAGGTCTCCAAGGAGGTTCCGTTTGTCATACAGCACCAGGAGTTGGAAGCCTTTCTTAAACTCCTCGGTATGTCTGTGACTTAATTTTATTCGTCTAGATTGAGCATGTTCTAATGTTTTATATTTCACCTTTCATACTCCACAGCTATAATGGACATGTAACTGTCAAATGGATAGACATCATATTGAAGTGAACTAAGTGGAGATTGGAGCTGGTCATTCAGTATTTGAATAGGGAATATGGAAACCTGCCAGAATATTGCAATAGAGAACTAATTAACTTTCCCAGTTAGTTGGGTGTTAAAGGGGTTCTGTCTAATATTTCAGCTTAGAATTTGAGCTAGCTTTTAATAAAGGTTTACGTTGTCCCACAATGACTCCTTAACCCTGGGACATCCGAGTGCTTTCTAGGCAAAAGGTATTGCCTTTGTTGTAATGTAGGACATACTGCACAATGAGGTTCTACAAAACCACAATCCGATAATCCTTAGAATTCCTATAGTGTGGAAGCAGGCCATTCACCCCTTGGGAGTCCACACCAACCCTCAGTGTATCCCCCCTAGACCCAACCTCATACCCTATCCCTATGACTCCACTTTACATGGCCAATCCACATAACCTGCATATCTTTGAACTGTGGGAGGAAACTGGGCCACCCAGAGGAAACCCCACACAGACTCTGGGAGAACATGTAAACTCTACGCAACCAGTCACTAAGGCCGGAATTGAACCTGGGTCCCTGGCACTGAGACACCAGTGCTAACCTCTGAGCCACCGTGCTGACTAAATAGTGACCAGGTGTCTCCTCCCATGATGATGCTAGGGGATACATGTTCTGCCCAGGAAACTAGGGAGAACACCCTGCCTGCTCTAAATATTAGTTTTAGGACCTCATAGAACATAGACTTCCTACAGTGTAGAAGCAGGCCACTTGGCACATCAAGTCCACACTGACCCTCCAAACAGTATCCCACCCAGACCTAACTCCACATTTCCCCATGGCTAATTCACCTAACTTTCTCATCTTTAGACATCTGGGGAAACCCACACAGACATGGGGCAAATGGCAACAGTCTGGCAGAGTTTGCAGAAGGTGGGATTGAACCTGCCTCCCTAGCACTGAGGCACCTGCCAAAATACTATTTAATATCACCTCTCAGTGCTGCCCTGGTGTTTGAGACAAATTTTCTTCTGCTGAGACTCTGGACTGGAACTTGTACCCACAGCTTCTGAGACAGAAGTGAGTGTCACCCAAAAATTGATGAGAATTTAAAACCACTTGACCTGGACATAGTAGTAAAGAAGAGGAGGCTAAACTAGGAGTGTTGACTGTGCAAGGGTGAAAATATACAGGCGTCAGCCATTTCTCACCAAGACCAAATGAACTACAACAATCCAAGGAGCAGTCTACTGTTACCTTCTCAGAGCAATTAGGAATGGGTAATGCATACTACATTCACATTAGGGGAGTGGAAAAAGTTAGAAATGACAGCCACAGAACCTTGAAGATATCTTGACTTGTATAGTGTTTTGAATGAAAGCAATTTTCTCTCCAATATTGCATCAATCTTCTAACTTATTCTGGTGGGATGCATGCAGTCATGTAGATATGGTATGATTAAGAATGAAAATACTTTTCTTGCTGCCTGTGATTCTGTGGCATGTTGAAATAACCCTGAGAACAGCTGCTAGTTCAGTATGGTACAGTACTGATGGGATAAAGTTGCTCCGTGAACTGCACAAAATAAACATTCAGCAAGAGCAGTTAATTTTAGAACTGCAGTCACATAGTTCACTAGCTGCCATTCTTTTCAGCGACTATCCTTGAGCAGCAATGAGTTGAAGTCCTGTTTTGAATCATTGATTTCTGAAGGATTAACATTGATCAGCATCGAGCAACTCACACTTGTTTTTTCTACAATATGCCCTGAGGCACTTCATTGTGGTGTTCTTAAGCAAAATATGATAAAGATGCTTGAGGATATACTTTGGACACTATGGGAGATTAGCCCTTTTTAAAAAAGATACCCTTTTTAAGACAGATGGAGGGAAGTCCATTACGGCAGCTCAGAAGCTGAAGACCAATAGTGGAGTGAAGCAAACAGGGCATACCAGAACTCCAAATTTCAAGTGCACAAACTTTAACAGTTCTATAATTGGGGATGGGAAGGGAAAGGTCACTGAAGGAGTGAAAACCTGAGAGGTTAAAATTCAAAACTTGGGTACAGTTTGAGTATAAACGGTGTCCCATTCAGGATGGAGATGTTGGAGGAATCACTTAGAGTCTCGTCATTCAGCAAAGAAATGGACCGTTTAGTCCAACTTGACCACATTGACCAAGTTTTCCAAACTAATCTAGTCACACTTGCCAGTATTTGGCTCATATCCCTCTAAACATTCACTAACCACCTATCCAAATGTCTTAAATATGTAACTGTAACTGTACCTGCATCTGCCACTACTTCTGACAGTCTATTCCACACAAACCACCCTCACCTGCAGCTGTAGATGAAATGGATATCTGATTGGGACCTCGTAATTTCTTTAACTTCCTAGAGTGACCAGGGATACGCTTGATCAGGTTCTGGAGATTTATTCACCTTTACTTTTTAAGACCTCCAGCATTAGCCCCCTGCCTTGTAATGTAAATTATTTTCAAGACATCAATATTCACATCCCTAAGTTTCCTAGCTTCTATATCTTTCTCCACAGTAAAAACTGATGTGAAATATTTGTTCAATATCTCTCCCATCTCCTGTGATTCTACACATGGACAAGCTCATTGATCTCTAAGGGGCCCTATTCTCTCCATAGTTGCTCTCTTGCTGTAAATGTACTTGTGGAATCTCTGGATTCTCCTTAATCTTTGTATGCCAAGGCTATCTCATCCCCTTTTTGTCCCCTTGATTTTCCTCCAGAATGCCCCTACACTACTTGTATTCGAGCAATTTACTTGATCCAGTTGTCAACACTTAATATGACTCCTTATTCTTGACCAGAGCCCCAATCTTTATTGGGGTCATTGGCTTGTAGAATTATCTTCAGGTGAGCAGTGGGAGCTGGATCTTTGGATGTATCCTAGACTGAATTAGGCAGTCTTTTGATCAAGGATTCATGGGCAGGGAAAGGTGGTCATGTTGGAAAGTTGAATTGAGGCCACAATCTGATCAGCCAGAGCTTTACTAAAAAAAACAAAGCAGCCTCAAGGGGCTGAAGACCCACTCCTAGTTGTTCTGTTCTTACCTGTTTGACCAAGGTGATTGCCAGATTTAACCCTATTCCGAAGGATGACTGCACTCTACTCTCCCTGTAATGCATTGGTAGTAGTCTAGACTTGTTAAAATGCCAAGTCAGGATTAAAAATCTCCACCTTTTGAGGTCAACTGAGTCTTGCTGCTACTCGGAGCAGTACTTCTGGTGGCTGCAAATGCATCTGCTCCTGATCATCAATGTTGAACTCGTGAAAGGGTAATATGTCCACCTAATTCTTCACAAATCTGTCCTGCCCCAGATCATTGCATTTCTAAAAGATCTATTTGGTGATTCTGTCTCTGTTCTGAACCCTCCTTTGTTCCATTGTGAATAAGACCTTTGTTAGACAAAATACCTAACTGCTTTGAAAACCATGATCTTCATTTGATTCTGAAAGAATAGAGAAATCCAGAAAAGCTGGTTTATTTCCCAGATAACAGAGTCTTGTGTTCTGTCATTTTTATATTAACTCACTTCAAACATTGTGGACCATCAATCTATCTTTGAAATTTAGAAATTGTTTCCCCCTCACCCCTGCATCCTACTTTCATTTCTTTTCATGGATTTGACATTTTTTCTAAAACTTTGTTTGAGGGTTTGGTTTCACTGAAGATGTTGGAGATCTCTCTAAGTGGGCATCTATTGCCTGTGCCCATTTCATCAACATAATGATGGCCTTGCTTCCTTGTTCACTGGTGCTCCATGCTATGTAATTAAAGAAGATATAGTGGTGATATTGGGATGCAGTGTGATGTAGGTCCCACTGCACAGTCCAGAGAAACTCGAATGTTCCTGTTGTTCTGACTATGTTTATTCTTCACCTGGAAGGAAACTGGTCACTTATCTGGCGACTGTCGAATCTTGTGTATGGATTGTCAAGTTTGCGTATGTTGCAAATGTAGGTGTTGTAACATTATAATGTACTCCAGTATGGTTCACACAGTTTGAGATGTACTGATTAAAATGCTAATATGTATTTTATATGAAAATATTTGAGCAGGAGTTATCACCTTGGGTCTGCTTTCTTTATTGACCAAGATCATGAGCTGGTCTGATATTAGTCTCTTTCCACTTTTCCTGTTCCCTGGAGTCCCTGACTGTTTGTTTGCAAATGTATCCACTCCAATATTTGTATACATTAAAAGACTCTGCTCTCTGTGGTGGAGAATTCCACATGACTGGAATGATTTCAGGTGGCTGGGTGAGGATGCTCCCTTTTGGACTCCTGCGGTCATGAGCAAGAGTTTGTAGTCCTGAGTCTGCTACAACTCCAAACCACCAGAGGGCACCTTAGTGCTGCATTCAAATACTGCCTTGAAATACTGAGGGAGGGTGAGGGCTGGTTAGAAGTGGGAGATTAGAGCTAAACCTTACCTTTGAAACCTCCAGTTAAATGTTGGGTGGGGATAAAGTGTGGGCAAAAATGCATGTTCAACTTGGCTCCACATGAGTGTTTCTTAATGGTTATTATTGCCCTCAAGGGGGCAAAAGTGTGTCTATGGGTAGTTCTGCTAAATGTAGAGCTAAACTTCAAAGGACGACCCCCTCTTCAATTTTTCTACTGAAGAAAACCATTGGCACCCCTTACCCATCTCAGTGAGGTTTGATTAAAAATGGTGATGGGAATAGCCTACAAAAGTTCAAGGGCAGTCATGTTTGGTCTCTTTTTTGTTTTTTTTGCTGCCTTAAGTCCAGCAGTGACCTTTTTTAAATGACTGACTGTATGCAACTTGCTGTGAGGACCCTGCTGTATTCACTATGAAACTAGAACATAAACTGTCCAATGTTTTGCTATGTATCTGTACTCGGTAGCTTGCTATGTTTGGTCTGAATTTTGTTTCTTGCAGATGATGAGGTGATTCAGGATTTCCTCTGGATGGACAGTTGCTGCCGAATTGCAGATAAGGTACTGGGGAGTGGCAATTGTGCATGCTGCTGGTATGCTGGGCTTGAAAGTGAGCAGTTCAAACGTTCAGGCAGTCCTGAAACTAAAACTATTACACCCTGGGGCAACTGTCTGCAGAGTTTGCACATTGTGTGGGTTTCCTCCCACAGCCCAAAGATGTGCAGGTTAGATGGTTCGGCTATGCTGAATTGCTCAGTGTCCAAGGATGTGCATGCTACTCTAGTAGCCATGGGAAATGCAGGGTTACGTGGATAGGATATGGGGTTTGGTCTGGGTGGGATGCTGTTCAGAAGTTTTTGGTGTGGACTTCATGGGCCCAATGGCCTGCTTCCACATTTGAGGATTTTGTGTACCCTGCAGGCATCTGAGCAGTATCGGATGGTCAGCATCCCACCCTGCCCTGCTCCGCAACACCCCCCCCCACCAAAAAAAAGTCTCACGCGGTGTGTTTGGTTCAGAAATATTAAGTTTCAATTCCATGGTTTAATGAGTTCTCACACTTTTTTTTTATCTGCCTGAATTAAGTCCCAAGGCTTTGATTTTAAATTTTCAGCAATCTATATTCTAGAGTATTTGAATATCCAATGTGCTGGCACTTCAGAGCTACAGGTGTTGTGGGAAGTGATGCCATTTTAGTGTGGTCTTAGGAGTGACAACAGCCTGTTGGTATCACTGTGCAGATAGTCACTTGCTTTGACAGACCGGCTGTCATTCTGATCCTCGTCTAACCATGTATCCTTGGCCTTCAGTCACTATTTAGTGACGACTTTGGCATCTGCCTGTACAGTCAGTTTTTAAAAAGAAAAAAAAAAATGCTGGCAGTCAGGCAGCATCCATAGAGAGAACAAGGTAACATTTTGCATCTAGATGACTCTTCAGAACTGACTTGCAATATTGGCTTGCTCTCTGTCCATGAATGCTGCCTGACCTGTGAGCTCCAGCATTTTTTGCGTTCTTTTCTATTAAGATTCCAGCATCTGCAGTAATTTGCTCCTGCTATGCAATTTGCCTGTCTACTGGCAGCATCCTCAACCTAAACCAGTCATTCCACATTCTAGCAACTGTTCAGTAATATGTGCAGCTATCCCTCTCTTATTACAAGGCACTGACTATACAATTGAGTCAGTGAATGTTTCTTAATGACCTGACTGATATCAGAATGTTGCACAGTGCCTTGACTAATTGGGTGGTGAGCTGAGTTTACGTTCCAGATTTTCTCTTGGCCTTTCAACTTTATATCTTAAAATAGCGATTCAAAGCATTCTGTGAAATGGGGGCACAAAGTCCACCTGCAACATACTGGTGTTTACCAGTTTAGTTTCACAACACTACACTGACCCTATCCTTGGTTTAGGAGCAGGTTCCAAGAGTGTTGTTAATGGACTTTTTCTATCGTGGGAGGCTTACAAACCTGACTTGTTCTGTTTTCACTCCTTGAGTCTTGTGAGACAGTACACTACACAGGAGTGGGATCACACCAAGGTTATTTGTAGTGTCCCAGCTGCAGAACTAAGTTGGCTAATCTAAGATTCTGCAATACATGTTTGATTCCAGTAAGTCTCATTCACTTATTGTATCTGAACTCCCAATTCTCTTTCAGTATTTATTGGCCATGGTCCTGACTTACTTCAAACGTGCAGAGCTTCACACAAGTCAGTACTCCAGAATGAACTTCTTCTTGGCACTGTAAGTACTCATGTCTTAATTGTGGCAATCAGTGTCTTGTAGGATTGGGTTGTTTGCTTGTTGTCTAGTCCAATGGTCAAAATCTATTTTTACCTTTGGTTTGCACCTGCAAGACAGTTGTGACTCCAAGTCTTGCTTTTATAGTCATACAGCACAGAAACAGACTCTTCAGTCCAACTAGTCCATGCTAATCAAGTTTCCAAAACTTGACTAGTCAGCTTGCCTGTGTTTGGCTGTATCCTTCTAAACCTTTGCTATCATTGTACCTATCCTGATGTCTTTCAAATCTCTAACCGTACATGCATCTATCACTTCCTGTCAGCTGATTCCACATACAAACCACCCTCTGTATGAAAAGTTGCCCCTCACCTTTTTTAAATGTTTCTCCTCTCACCTTAAAAATATGCCCCCAGTTTTGAACTCCCTACCCTCATCAAAAGGCCTTTGCTATTCACTTCGTAAATGCCCCTTATGATTTTATAAATCTCTCATGTCGCCCCTCGACCTTTTTGGCGTGTAGGGGGAGGGTGTAGGTGAAGTCCCAGCCTCTCCTATAACAAACCATCTAGTCCTGGTAAATCTTTCCTGAACCCTTCCAATTTTAATAATATGCTGCCTATGGCAGAGTCCCCAGAATTGGGGACAAAGAGGCCTTGCCAACGTCCTGTACAACCTCAACATGATACCCCAACTCTCTACTGAAAGATCTGCGCAGTGAAAGCAAATGTGCTAAACTCCTTAACCACTATCTACCTGTGATGGAACTTTCAATGATCTGTGTACCTGTACCCTGAAACTCTGTTCAGCAACACTACCCAGGCCTTAACATTAATTGTAGAAGTCCTGCCCTTATTTGTTTTACCAAAATGCAACACCTCTCATTTGTCCAAATTAAAGTCCATCTGCCACTCCTCAGCCCATTGACCCAATTGATCAAGATCTCTTTGTAATCGTAGATAACTTTGTGGAGGTGTGACAGCCCATTTGACAACCAAGAAGTGCTCTGAAAGATTGATTTCAAATAAACCTGTTGGACTATAAGCTATCGTGTGATTTCCAACTTCGATAACCTTCTGCACTGTCCACTATACCACCAATTTTGGTGTCATCCACAAACTTAGTAATTATGCTTCATAAATTCTCATCCCAATTCATTTGTCTAAATGACTAACAGTTGACCCAGCACCAATACCTGCAGGATACCATTGGTCACAGGCCTTCAGTCTGAAAAACAACCCTTCCCACTACAGTCTGCCTCTTGCTGTCAAGCCAATTTTGTATCCAATTGGCAAGGTCTCCCTGAAGCCCATGTGACCTAACTTTACTAATTAGTCTACTACGTGAAACCTTGACAAAGGCTTTATTAAAGTCAATGTAGACAATGTCTACCACTCTGCCCTCCTGTCTTTTTCATAACTTTCTCAAAAAAAATCTATCTAGTGAGATGATTTCTGATGCACAAAGCTGATTATTATCCCTAATCGGTCCTTGCCTCTCCAAATGCATAGAAATCCTATTTTCAATCTCCTCCAACAACTTAATCACCACTGATGTCCAACTCACTGGTCTATAGTTCCCAGGCTTTGCCTTGCAGCCTTTTGTAAATAAGGCACAACATTAACCACCCTCCAGTCCTTCCGCACCTCACCAATGGTTATTCATGATACAAATATCTCTGCTGGGGGCCTTGCAGTTTCTTCCCTAGCTTCCCACAATGTCCCAGGATACACTTGATCAGATCCTAGAGATTCATCCACCGTTTTCTTTTCTGAAACGTCCAACACCACCTCTTGTAATTGTAGACTGTTTTCAAGATAACAATATTTATTTCCCTGAGTTCACTAGCTTCCAGGTCTTTCTCCACAAACTGATGTGAAATACCTTGGTACCTCTCTCCCAGTGCCTGTGGTTCCATATGTAATGACCTCGTTGATCTTTAAGGGGCCCAATTCTGTCCCTAGTTGATCTTTTGCTTAGAATTTGCTAGAATCCCTACTGGTGGAAACAGGCAATTTGGCCCAAGTCCACACCAACCTTCTGAATAGCATCTCGTGCAAGCTTATCCACCTACCCTATCCCTGTATTTCCCATGGCTAGCCCACCTAACCTACACATCCTAGAACACTGGGCAGTTTAGCATGACCAATCCATCTAACGTCATATCTTTGGACTGTGGGAGGAAACCGGAGCACCCAATGAAAAAAAACAGGTGTGGAGAGTGTGCAAACTCAACAGTGGCCCGAGGGTGGAATCAAACCCAGGTTCCTGGTCCTGAGGCAGCAGTGCTAACCACTGAGCCACCCTGTTCTTAATGTACTTGTAGAATCTCTTTTGGATTGTCCTTTAGCCTTGACAGGACCTTATCTTGCATCTCTTATTTGCTGTCCTGATTTTCCCCTCAAGAATGCTCCTACACCTTGTTATTATTCAAGATATTTCCTATGATCCCATTTGTCTATGCTTAACATATGTCTCCTTATTCTTGACCAGAGTCTCAATATCTTTATTCAGCCATCTGAGTACAACAGCACCTTGATCCATTGGGCCAATGGGCCAAGGAGTGGCAAATGGAGCTTAATTTAGATAAATGGGATGTTGCATTTTGGTAAGGCAAAGCAGAACAGGACATGTACAGTTAATGGTAGGGCCCTGGGGAGTGTTGCTGAACAGAGACCTAGGGGTGCAGGTGCATAGTTCCTTGAGTTAATGGAAAACTGGGTTAGATAGACTACTAAAGCCGTGGTATCGTCATAATAGATTCTCCTGCTCCCCTATGCCTGTACACCAGGGTTGGCTCCAAGTGTTGATTGGCTCAGCAGCCAATCTTTAAAGTGGAGATGGGGGAAAGAGGCACTAAGTTGTCTCCAGTTTACCCAAAATTGCCATTTGCGACCATCGATGTGAAAAGGCGTGGATTTTGTTATTGCAGTTAACCTGAGCATTGAAATCAGTCTTTTCAGTTGGGGGACAGGAGGAAGAGAATCATGCAAACTCTATAGGAAAACAGCAAAACAAAATTTGCATGACTCTGGGAGGTCCCAGTTCCTGCCCTAGATCGCTGTTTTGTGGAATAGGCAAAATGGCTCCCTCCAATATAATTCTGAGACTAATAACATCTGAATTGATTTATTTTCAAGCAATCTGAATTCTTTATGGGGTTAACTGGTGGCAGGTCTTTATAATCACTTTTTTTGGTCTTGCAGGTACCTGGCAAATGACATGGAGGAGGATGAAGAACAGTACAAGTATGAGATATTTCCGTGGGCATTGGGTGACAACTGGAGGAAGCTTGTGCCGAATTTCCTCAAATTACGGCTGGACCTGTGGGCTCAGATGAATTACAAGGCGGCTGTCAGCAGGCGATGCTGTGAGGAGGTGATATGCTGGACTTGATGTAACTTCAGGGTAACATTACTGCTTTTCTGCGCATCTTGCTGGTATCTGCTTGATCCTGTTGAATTTGGATGAAGTGTGGGCCTCTCCAGTCTTCTCTGCCATTCAATATGATCATAGCTGATCCAATTGGAGCCTCAACTCCATGTCCCTGCCTATCCCCTAAAAATGCTGACTCCCTTGTTAGCCAGGAATCTTATACTCTGCCAAAAATTACGTCAAAGCAGAAGTGGTAGTGTCTGTACATCTAAGCCAGGAGACCTGGGTTCAACTCCTGCCTGCTCTGGACATATGACATCTGAGACCAGTTGATATAGAAAATAACTCTACCTCTGCCTTACAAAAATTCAGTGACCCGCTGCTTCTGCTGTCTGGTGTGGAAAATAACTTCCTTAAGACTGTAACTGAGGAAGGGGGAGAATTCTTCCTTGCTGCCTCCTTGTTTTTAGCTCCTGATTTTTCTTTCAAACTATTGCCTAATCCAGGTTGTCATAAATAGCTACGATTGCTAGTTGGAAAAATGTAAGTGGATTGATACAGTTGGTTTTGGGCATATTTTTAGCTCTGGGTGAGTGAGTTACTTTGAAGCCATGAATGTTATTCTCAACAGTTCCTGCGGGGTTCTGGTCTCGGCTCAGTATTTACTGCTACCCAATTTGTGGGCTAGCCTGGTCTGCAAGCTGACATTTTCTGTTAAGCTGAGCCAGGTAGCTTAGTGGTTAACACTGCTACCTCTCAGCACCAGGAACCTGGGTTTGATTCCAGCCTTGGGTCTCTGTGCAAACTCCATTCTCCCTGTGTCTGCATGGGATTCCTCCCTGGTGTTCTGGTTTCCTCCTGCAGTCCGAAGCTGTGCAGCTTAGATGGCCATGCTGAATTGCCATTGTGACCAGGGATGTGCAGGCTGGGTGGGATAACCTTGGGAAATGCAAGTGTGGGTTATGGAGTGGGTCTGGGTGGATTCTCTTTGGGGGGTTGGTGTGGACTTGATGGGCTGAATGGCCTGCTTCCATTCTAAGGATTTAATGAAACTATACACTGAAGGCCTGGCTGCCTGGTAAGCAGTCTATAAAAGATTCTGTGCTGCTGCGTTTCAGGGATTCTCTTCAGTTTTGAACTAAGGGCTTCGAGTTGCAGCCCACTGCAGTACGCTTGTTGGGAAGTGGGTCTGCACTTGCTTGACTGAGCTGCAAGACTCAATGTCCAAGGCAGAGGGTGGAAAGGAGGGACCACTGCAGTTAAGCAAAATTTGAATTATTGCTCGCTTCACTTTCTGGCATTGAGTTTTTGTGTGCTGTCCATCATTTTGTTTACTTGCTGTGACTTTACTGCCTTTTGTTTTTCAATCAAGGTGATTGCTACTATCCCTTGCCACTATATATGGCACAGAGACCGCCCAGCTCACCACAGCGGTGCAATCAGAAGCTACCTGCAGAAAGAAACAGTACCTTACCCACAGGGGCCCAGTGGAACACCACCCTACTGCACCCTCTGCAATCGCTACCGGTGCTACTTGGACCTTGATTCGGATTCCTCATCCTCCTCCCCAGAAAACACTGTCTTGTTGGATGGCGATTGGCCCCAAGATCTGTTGATACTGTCTCCATCTGTACTGATAGACCATGGAATAGAAGGTATGGCCCCACTGAGCTTGGTTTAGTACAGGGGTCTAATGGGTTTTTGAGATGGAAGAAGGTAGGCTTTGATTGCTGGGCCAGCATTTAATGTCCATCCTTAGTTGCCTTTGTGAAGATGAACTGCTGCCTTGATCCACTGCAGTCCTTGGGGTAGGGAGAGACAGTGCTGTTAGGGATGGAGTTCCAGGATTTTGATCCTGCAACATTGAAAAAGTATACCTGGATATTTTCTTGGATTAGTGGGAGTCTGAGGAGAGCTTGCAGGGTGTGATGTTCCCATGTATCTGCTGCCCATGTCCTTCTAGATGATAGAGGTCATGGGTTTGGAAACTATTGATTTAAGGAGTATTGGTGATTTTCTGCAGTGTGTCTTATGATATACACTGGGCTTCGATGGTGGGAGAGTGAACGTGGTGCGCAAGTGTTCTGTTTTGCATGGATGGTGTCAAGCTTCTCATCCAGGCAAGGAGGGAGCATTCCGTCACGTTCTGACCTAAACCTGGTAAATAGTGGACAGACCTTTGGGAGTCGAGAGGTGAGTTAATTTCTCAAATTCCTCACCATTTGTAGTTAGTATTTGAATGGCTGGTCAATATTAACCCCCAGGAAATTGGTGGGATTCAGCAGTGGTGATGCCATTGAATGTAAAGTGGTTATGATCAGATTCTCTTGGAGATGGTGGTTGCCTGCCTCTTTATGGCAATCAAACTAGCTTGCCGATCCAAGACTAGATATGTCCATGTCTTGCTCCATTTGGGTATGGACTGTTTCAGTATCTGAGGAGTCACAAATGGTGCTGAACATTGTACAGCCATCAGTAAACATAGCCATTTTTGACTTGTGGCTTTCCTGCCATTTGAAACAGCTGAAGATATTTGAGCCCAAGACACTCCTATTGAGCACTCTTGCAGAGATGTCACAGTCAAACAGACCCTTTGGTACAACTCATCTATGCTGACCAAATTCCCTAAACCAAACTAGTCCCCTTTGCCTGCATTTGGCCCATTTCCCTCCACTTTCCTATTTGTGTACCTGTCCAAATGTCTTAAATGTTGTAACAGCATCTGCGTCTACCACTTCCTCTGGCAGTTCATTCCACATACAAACTACACTCTGTGGAAAAAGTTGCCTCTGGGTCCTGTTTCAAAATTTTTCTCTTCTCTGCTTAAACTTGTGCCCTCTGGTTTTGAAGTCCCCTACTCTAGGGAAAGGACCTTTTAGCTATTCATCTTAGTTATGTTCCTCATGATTTTATAAAATGTTAAGGTAACCATTGATCTCCTAGACTGCAATGAAAAATATCCCGGCATATCCAGCCTGTCCTGGCAACTCCAGTCCCAGTAACATCCTTCCAAGTTGGGGCTCATGACTGTTGCCAAAAAAAACTGTCTTTTATGTTTTGAGTCTAAACAATAGAGTTTTCCTCCTGATTGTCACAACCCTATTTTTGATCTGGTCCTTTGTTGCCATAGTCAAATGCAACCTTTATGTCCTGGTGAGTTCTGTTCAGCTTTTTTTGTCGACGTTTGAACCAAGGTTATAACAAAGTCAGGCAGAACTCCAACTAGGTGTCGGTGAACCTCGTATTGCCAAGCACAGTTGATGGCCTCTTCTATCACCTTTATGAATGCCCACAAGTCTAACCTAAAACAATAATTGCTTGGGCTGGACTTGATCTGCATATACAGGACGTACCTGGACAATTATAAACGCCAGTATTGTAGCTGTACTAGAATAGCTTAACCTGGGGAGCAGCACGTTCTGGAGCACAAACTTTCAGTATTATCCAGTATCTTCAGCTGTTTCTTGATATCCTGTAGTGTGAATGGAATTGGCTGAAGATTGGCATCTGTGATGCTGGAAACCTCTGTAGGAGGCTGATTTAATATTGACACTTACTTCACTTTAGTCTTTTACATTGATGTATTGGACTTTCTTCCTTGAGGATGGGGACGTTTGAGGAGACACCACCTCCAGGGAGCTGTTTCGTGGCTGGATGTGACTGCTGAGCTTTAACTTGCTCACGTAGGCCTTCACTCTCTTTGCTTGTGTGCCAAACAGTATAAACAGCAAATCTGTATAGTGACACCACACTTTTTTTTAGTATACCTAGTGTGGTTCTTTGCATGCCCTCTGCACTCTTCTTTGAACCAGATTTGATCACTCTTTGAGCTTGATGGTAATGGTAGACTGGGGGGATACTCGATTGGAGTATAGATCTGTTACTGCTGATGCCCAGTCAAGTTGGTTGATTTTTGTTTGAAATCTATCCCATTCAAAATGATAGAGGGTATCGTCTATCAGGTTAGATGGTACTATGTGGATGCTCCCTTGGCCAGGCAAACTTGGACATGAGATTTCAAAGTCTAGGGGCAATGTTGACAATTCCTTCCTGACAGTGTACAGTAATGTACTGCCACCTCTGCTGGATCTGTCCTTCTGATGGGCCAGGACATAACCAGGAATGGTGTTGTCTGGGACATGCTCATGGAATTGGACCTTTTATAGCACATATCCTGCTATTGCTTGCCTGCTGAGGTGGTGCTCCAGCTTTGGCACTAGCCCCAGATCTTAGTAAAGAGGACTTTTCAGGGTCAATAGGCATGTTAACAGCTGTTTTGAGGCAGGCAGTGTAGGATTTTTTTGGGTTTGTTGTATCAAGCCACTTTAAAAATCTTCTGCCTTGGCCACTTCAGAGGGTAGTTAGGAGTCAATTCTGGGGGCATATAGGCCAGGCTAAGTAAGGATGGTAGATTCCCTGCCCTGAAGGACATAAGTGAACTTTTGGTAATGGTTTCATTGTCATTGTTAGACTTCAATTGTTTTTTTTTAAATAAAACCAATTCCACCATCTGCCACAGTGGGATTGGAACCCAGTTCCAGAGCATTACCCGAGTCTCTGGATAACTAAAAGACAACCAGAAAGTGCTGGAGAAACTCAGCAGGTCTGGTAGCATCCATAGAGCAAAGCAAAGTTAACATTGAGTCTAGTGACTGTTGTCAGAACAGACTTCTAGGGAAGGGTTGTTGGACTCTTAGTTAAGGAGATAGCAAGAAGTGCAGATGCCAGGTTCAGAGTCTATATAGTGTGGAGCTGGAGGAACACAGCAGATCAAGGAGCAGGAGAGTTGATGTTTTGGGCCTGGACCCTTCTTCCAGCCTGAAATGTCAACTCTCCTGCTGCCTGACCTCTAGCTCCATGCTGTATTGACTCTTAGTTAACTCTGCTTCTCTTTCTCTAAAGATGCTGCCAGACCTCCTGAATTTCTCCAGCACTTGCTGGAAATCTGAAACATATCCCACATTCTGCAATTCTGTTTATCTCTGGTTATGAATCCTGCAATAAGACTACCCTAATCCACTAACTGTTAATCCGTGTTAGCTAAAGCTCCCCTCATTGACTACAGCTGGGTTTTCCTTTTATCAACTGCTTGTCATCCAATCTCCAACTACACATGCCTGTCTTCTCCCTTGACTATCACACTTTTCTAACATTTGCCTTGTAAAGACTTCATGTATTCACTTTTTTTAAAGGGATGGTGATGTTAGACTTTGATCCCCTAATACTGTTTGTTTTTAGGTTACTGACTTTTTAGATTTTTTTACATTTTACTTTACCTTTGAAAGCTTTTGGAAGTTTCTTATCCTATTTGTAGGACAACGATCCTGCTGTGTCATTTTTCCAGAAAATGTCACTGGGAACAGAGATGACTACTGCAAAAACTAATTGTAAGATCAGTACCAAGAATGTGAATTTTCCAGCATTCTTGTGGGGAACCACTTCTGTGCTTTACAAAGTACAAAGGATGCAACAGCCATGATTTAAAGGGGGAAGAAGAGAAATAAGAACCTAAATTTGTGGTTTCAATTGAATAGCTTTTTCAACATGCTTTTGCAGGCGGGGAAGGGGATGATTTCAGGAGTGAATTCTGAAGAGCAGGTGCATAATGGCTAAAATAAAAAAGCCAGCTTATTGTCTGCATCCAATGTAGCACTCTGAACACGTTTGCTTGACAGTGGCATTTCAGTAATTTTTTTTTGGTCCCCATACAGTTTCATGAGATTCAAGTAGCATTCGTGGACTGAGTTGATGGTTGAGCATTTGTTTCTGTGCTGAATGTTGCTGTTTTGGGTAGCTTTTGGAAGAGGGGTGACTCTTGTGATAACATGTCATCACTTCAGCATTGTCTTGGCACTGTAGGATTCTGAAGTAGATCTGGAATCCTGTGTGAAAGGAAAGATCTTAAGTGGGAATTCAAGTTTTAGATTAGCCATTCCAGTGCACACTAGCAGACTTGTAACAATATGCAATAAGTGATCTCTCTCTTCCCATCCCCACACCACACTTCAGTTTGTATGGAATATTTCAGCGATTGACAGTTATGTTCAGTTGGCAATTGTCAAAAGGTCAAATGTTTGAATTCCTAGTCCATTTTGACTTTAGACTCCAGCAATGAGCATGATGTATTCAGGTCTCTACCATCCATATGTGACATGGACCCATGCAACGTGGACTGGTCTCTAACAATAAATGTCAGCAGGTCTCCAAGCTTCTTTGAAAGGGATTCATTTTTCAATGTGGACATTGTTGACAAGGCAACATTGATTGATTGTCCATCCGTAGTTGCATTGAAACTGCAGTTTCAAGCTGCCTTTAATTAGCAAGCTATTTGTTTCACTAAATAGCTTGCTGGTCATTTGCAGTACTTTGTAGTATAAACTCAAAGTAGTCTGTTCTTTGGTTTCTGCTTCACATAGCTGTACGAAATTAGGTAAGAGGTTTCCTGCATGAATATGTCCTTCAATCCTTCATTTTACTTATTCCTGTAAATGCATCTAACTTCCTTAACACTTGTTTTAATCACTGATTTTAAATTTGTCTTGAATTGTTCATTGCACTTATTAGTGACTTATTTATGACTGAGGTTTTTCCAACACCACTACTTTATGCCTAGACTATCAAATGCTTCCATATGATAAATTTGCGTCAACTTTATCTCTCAACAGGTGTGGCCTCTTCTCTACAGTCTTCACTTGTAGTGAAACCCCTTTCTCTACTGATGCCATTCTATATTTCATGTCCTGCTGTTTGTGGACAGAAGGTCAAGTCCAACACAGCCATTTAATGCTCCATTATGTCCACCCTATCATCATTGTAATGGAAGGAGTTCTTGCCAACACTTACAAGGTGTACTTACTTAATAACCTGCTTACTGAGCTAAACTCGTGAGGTGAGGGTGCCTGCACTTGACATCCAATGCAGTGTTTGACTACTGTGGCACCAAGAAGTCTGAGCAAAACTGGAATCCTTGGGAATTTGGGTGGGTGGCCAGGAGGAGGAACCAAAACTCTCCACTAGTTGGAGTCACCCTAGCACCAAGGAAGTCTCAGTCCAATGACCGGCTGCAGGAAATCCTCAGGGTTGATACTTATTTTTAGTCAACATGATCAGGTGTTATGACACTGCGCATGGTAAATGAGCCCATGCCTTCTGGCTCAGGTAGAAAGCTATCACTACCACAACAGCCAAATATTTGCAGGAAGAAAAACTACTACCCCTACTTAAAGAACAAGAAACAGGAAATACCCATCTTCTGTCAGTCTGAGTCAGAGTTATACAGCATAGAAACAGACTCTAGCAAATATCAACCATAACCCACTGCCATCAGATTGGTTAATATCCTAAGTCCAACTGTCTTCAGCTGCATCATCACTGACTTTCTCTCTCTGTAAGGTTGTAAGTGAAAGGGTTCAGAAAAGATTTACAAAGCTGTTGCCATGTTGAGGGTTTGAGCTATAGGTAGAAGCTGACTAAATAGGCCGGGCTCCTTTTCTCTCCTGCATCAGGCTGAGGGGTGGCCTTTTAGAGGTTTATAACATAGTGAGGGGCATGGAAAGAGTGAATAGCCAAAGTCTTTGCCCCAGGGGAGGGGGAGTCCAAAACTAGAGGGCATAGTTTTAAGGTGACAGAGGGCAAGATTTAAAAGGGACCTGAGGAGCAACTTGTTCATGCAGGTGAGTGGTGTGTATGGAATGAGCTGATAGAGGTGGGTACAATTACAACATTTAATAGGCATCTGGATGGGTACATGAAGAGGAAGGTTTGAGGTGGCAAGGTGGCTCAGTAGTTAGCACTGGTAGACAAACAGGCTGGAAGAACGCAGCAAGCCAGGCAGCATCTGGAGGAAGAGTTGTCAACTGACGGGTAATACCTTGGATTCCAGCATCTGCAGTTTTTTTCCTTTAACAGTGGCTAGCACTACTGCCTCACCATGCCAGGTGGATAGGCCATGCTAGAGTCTGTTTCTATGCTGTATAACTCTGACTCTGAGACTAACAGAAGATGGGTATTTCCTGTTTCTTGTTGTTTAGTAGTTTTCCTTCCTGCAAATATTTGGGATGGCCAAGTGGCTCCATGGTTAACACTGCCTCAGAGCCAGGGACCCAGGTTCAATTCCACCCTCTGGTGATTATCTCTGTCTGTCCGTCCAAAGATGTGCTGGTTAGGGTGGATTAGCCATGCTAAACTGCCCATAGTGTCCAGGAACGTGCAGGCTGGGTGGATTGGCCATATGAGATGCAAGGCTACAGGGTTAGGATAGGGTGTGGGTCTGGGTGGGATGCTCTTCAGAGTCTGTGTGACTCAATGGAATGGCCTGCTCTGCCACAAGGGATTCTGATTAATTTGTTTTTCAAAGCCATTGATTTTGGTTTCTAAATGATCTGCCTGGACCTCGGTTGAATTGTATGATATCCAATGCTGTTAGAACATGGCTCTTTGTATGCTTTCAAGATAAGGCTTCAGCCATGCTTTGTATGCTGACCTTTTTATACCAGAGGAAGTTGGCCATCTCTCTGTTTTGGAGAGGGTGCACAAGGACATTGTTACAGTGTTACATTGACTTGTTTCTGTTTAGTCCTACAGGAAGCTTTGGTCAGTACCACACCTGACGGACAAGATTACAGCTGGTGCATGTAGAATGATGACCGGCGTGCCTGTCTACAGCTGGACCCTTTTTTAGGTTTGACACATGCCAGCACTGGAGTTTATTACTTAACCCTGTTGAGCATTTTTATGATCTGATGCACTTTATGATTTTGTTTTTTCCCCCCTGCTGTCTGGCCTTCAGCCCCCTCCCCTTTGAGACTGAGACCAGGAAGGGAGTTGTTAGCAACGGAACTTTAAATGGTTACACTCAAATGTTACAGACATTTGTTTGCAATTGAATGTATATTTATTGCTGTGGAAGTGACTAATGTATAGAATAAATATTGGCAGATGAACATGTGTGTCTGGCATCATTGCCTCCAATTAGTGATCAAAGTAGGATGATCAATTTTTAACAACTGTTTTGTAGAACCTCTGTCTTGAGCTGCAGTCTATATCCTAGGGCTTCAAGTTTTGAGACGAGCTTTTGAACTTCCAGTCACTGGGGAGGACGAGTAGAGAGGGAACATTGTTCAGAGTACAAAGGCCAGATGCCTCACATAACAAAGTCTCAATAGGTGGGACTCTACACACCAGGGTTTAGAAGAGTGAGAGGTGATATCAATGAAACATAGGATTCATAAGGGGCTTGACCAGGTTGAATGCTGAGAGAATGTTCCCCTTATGAAGCCTAAGACCAGAGGGCATTGCCTCAGAATAAAGGGGTACCAATTTAAGACAGATGAGCAATTTCTTGAGGGTTGAGTGTCTTTGCCCCACAGCTCTGGCAAGGAGTTCGAGTCCTTGGGTATATCTAGATTCTTGATCAAATTGGGGCATCATGGGTTATGGGAAATGCAAGAAAGTACATATGAGGACTGGCAGATCAGCCATGAACTTATTGAATGGAGCAGGATGAGGCCAAATGGTTTACCCCATTCTTATTTTATATGGTCTTATGGCCTTGTAACCTAAATTGACTCTAATTTCAGCAAGAACAAATTGTTTAGTCAGTTGTACAGCACAGAAACAGACCTCTCAGTCCAACTTGTCCATGCTGACCAGTTATCTAGTCCCTTTGGCCATATTCCTCTAAACCCTTCCTATGCATATACCCATCCACATGCCTTTTTAAATGTTGTGATTGTACCAGTCTCCTCCTCTTCCTCTGGCAGCTTGTTCCATACACAACCCTGTGTTTAAAAAGCTACCCCCAGGACCATTTTTTTTTTTTAAATCTCTTTCCTCTCTCCCTAAGCCTATGCCCGCTAGTTTTGAACACCCATACACTGGGGGAAAAAGACCTTGGCTATTCATTCCATCCAGACCCCTCATGATCTTAAACACCTATGAAGACACCCATGTGCCTCCTATGCTCTTGGTGGGGAAGCAAAGAAGCCCCAGCCTGTTCAGCTTTTGTCTCGAACTCAAACCCTCCAATCCTCAACATCCTCATTAATCTTTCTGCACCCTCAGGTTTAACAACATCCTCCCTATAGAAAGGTGACCAGAATTGAATGCAGTATTCAAATGTGGCCTCACCAATGTCCTGTATAGCCACGACATGACCTCCCAGCTCCTATACTCAAGGCACTGACCAATAAAGGCAAGCATACCAAACACCACTTCACTACCCTGTCTGTCTGTGATCCACTTTCAAGGAACTATGCACCTGCAACCCAAGATCTTTGTTTGGCAACACTCCCCAGGACCTTACCATTTAAGTGTACAAGTACTGCCCTGGTTTTGCATAACCAAAATGCAGCACTTTATTTGTCTAATTTAGCTCATCTGTCACTCCTCAGTCCCTTGACCCATTTGGTCAATGACCTGTTATACTCAGATCATCTTTACTGTCCACTACACCAATTTTGTCACCTGCAAACTTCCTAACCATGTGAGTTATCCCCTCCAAGTCGAAGAGCAATTGATAGTTATGATTCACCATTGGTTGGTAACCAGATGACAGGATGGAAGTTCAGCAAAAGAGGTGGAGGATGATGAGAATTCTTTTAATCAAATTGTGTATTTTGGAGCACAATCTGTGTGGTGGAAGCAGGTATCGCTGCAAGAGGGTGTTTCATTTAGGTGGGGAGTCCCCTGGAGACTAGAGGCTGGGTCACTGAATCAATTCAAGAGTGATAGATTTTTTTTTTAAAAAGGCATCAAGGGTATGGAGAGGGTGTGGCAGTATGGCATTCACATACAGGATCAACCATGGTCAGGAGTCATGTGACACCAGGTTCTAGTCCAACAGGTTTATTTGAAATCACAAGCTTTCAGACCTGACGAAGGAGCAACACTCAAGCTTGTGATTTCAAATAAACCTGTTGGACTAGAACTTGGTGTCGTGTGATTTCTGACCTTATTCACCCCAGTCTAATACAAGCACCTCCATATCAGGATCAGCCGTGATCACATTGCATCAGGCTCAAAGGGCTGAATGGTCGATTGTGCTCCTTGCTTCCTCTCTAAAAGGGAGCTGTACACATATTTGGAAAGATTTGCAGAATTGTGGGACTAATTGGTGTGTATAGAATGAGCTGCCAGAAGAAGTGGTGGAAGCAAGTACAATTACAGCATTTAAAAGGCATCTGGATGGGTATACGAATAGGAAGGGTTTAGAGGGATATGGGCCAAATGCTGGCAAATGGGACTGGATTGATTTTAGATATCTGGTCAGCATGGACAAGTCAGACTGAAAGGTCTGTTTCTATGCTACACATGTCTGACTCTAATTGTTAACTCCCTGGAGCTTATACATGCATAATGGTTTCCTGACAGCATCTCTACTACTGTAAGCTAGATGCTCTTTCATTCCCTACACTCTGCCACAGTCTTCCTCTGCATTGCCCTCATTGGGACAAGTGCTAGAAGAAAAGCAAAGTCCATTCTCTGCTTTTGCTCTTGGGCTTAATGTAGTTAAATTCCTTTTTTTTTTGTTTAAGAAAAGCCTTCAATTTCTTTATTGAGCCCAGAGTCTCCCATATTCCCCATATCACTTGCTTGCTTTTCTTTCACAGGATGTGGGTGTTACCAATGAGGCCAATGCTTACCAATCCCTAATTATCCTTGAACTGAGTGGCTGGCTTGGCCATTTCAGAGGGCAGTTAAGAGTCAACCATGCTGCTGTGGGGCTGGCATCACATGTAGGCAAGACTGGGTAAAGTCTCAGATTTCCTTCCCTAAAGGATATTCACAGGATCACAAGATGTACAAGTGGAAGGCTAATCAATCACATTCGTGATCCAGCAGGGCTTGGAAGCATGCTGGTATTTCTGTAGACTCACTATGATATTTATCTGGAGTTAGGATCCCTGTATAGAGACTTGCAGTAGATCCCAAAGGCCCACTTCTTGCACACACATGTACCCTCCATCGGCCACAATGGGAGTCTACCACCACAATGCAAACTACGTTTTTCTCCTGATTCCCCAGCACCACCTTGTCCCAAGATTCCCTAAAATACATGGTAGTCACTGGTAGAGACATGTCCCAACAGTGGCTCTTCAGCGTGCTGTAAAAGGCTTATGCTGAATACAGTGGATGTCTGCTACTAGTGAGGATACTGGGGTCAAAAAATTCAAACTGTTTTGCATGGGCTGAATTAATAAACCCTTATTTATTCAAATGATCAAAATTACTTACTAAGGTGAAAAATGCCCTCTTGGAAGCCAAAGTATATCGAACCCAGTTAAAACAGCTTTCCACTGCATGTTTACATAATCCGAAGTGATATGAGGTCTTTGTGTTAAGCCTCGTGCTACACGTTATCCTGTAAACTGTTTAAGAGGAAGTTACCAAGATTAAATTTTCAGCAGTTTTTTTCCCCAGCCTTGAACTTTGTTTTCCCCCAAGACTCATTCAATGGTCATGGGTGAGGTGACAGTGTGATATCAAGTTTGCCCTCCCTCATGAAGCATCCTCCTACTTAATTGGTTGTCTCTGTATCCAATTGCATAACTTGTAGCATCAGGTGATGTTCTCGTCCCATGCCGAGGATGTATAAAATCGTTACAATTTGAGCAGGACTCTGACATCTCAACGTCATTAGATTGTTCTCATCACAGGTAAGTGTGGATGGTAAGGCAGTACTTCAGAAATCTTCCAGATTGTGGATGGCAGGCTACGTTACAATCTGTGTGCTGTCAGAATAATTGTCAACCGGCAGTGTTTTTGTTTGGATGGCCTGCAGAGGTGTTGGGCAATCCACAATAACTTGCCTTATGTGCCACCTCAACACAGTGAAATATCTTGCTTGGCATGATGTACAGCATTTGAGACTGAGCCAGTTAAGATCGTGTTTGCCTAAAAGACCTGCCTCCATATCGGTTTGGAACTACTTCAGTCATTCTCTGCCTGCACCCAGGTCAAAATGCTGAAATTTCTTCACGCTCCTCTCTTTCCTCCCCCCCCACCCCGCCACCGGCAGGTGTCTGAACACCGCATAAGAGAGAGAGGTTTGAGTGTGGATTCCTGACTTTGGAAATCAATAAGGGCAAAGGCCCCTTGTACCTTGTTTGGGACATAGGAAGTGGGGAGCATGCCAGAGGTCTGAGCCATATAGTCAGCATTTTGAGGCTTGTGGGGCTGGAGGAGATCGCAGAAATGCTGGGCAACGAGAACCACAGTGTGTTTTGAAAAGTAGGGTGACTAAAATGTAGTAATTGCTGGTTTGAGACCCAATGCAACTCAGCAAGTATAGGGCAATGTGGGTGGTGTTGACTGGGTTTTGTCTGATTTAACAATGTTAGAAGAATTTGAAGTGTTCAGAGGATGGTGGACTTGCACAGCAGAGTATTAGAGCAGTCTGGTGACCGAAGTTCTGGTTTGCAAGTTATGGCTGTGCTGCATCTCTGCTAGTATGTAATCTCCCTCTGTTGCTGTGGCTGAGATCAGTGAACTCTGCAGAAGCAGAATATTTCCTGTTTTGTGTGGAGATATTTTTTGACCCAGCTTTTGAATCGTGCTTTTGTCTCATTACCGAAAATCCCAGACTCTTCCAACCAATAAAAGTCAACAGAATTATCTTTAGTGTGGGTGTGTTGGAGGGAATTGTAAACACTAATAGGCTCTAGGAGAGTGTTCAATGCCTGCTTGCAGCTATGTTCATCACAAACCTGTTTTAATTATCGCATTCAAATCTGGCCTTGGATTTTTGAGGTTAACCCTTTAAGGTACCCCCTGTCTTTCACTGTTGCTTAAAACAGACATCTGACTCAGCCCATCTATTCTTCATTAAGAGGATGGGGGCATCAAAGGCCAGCATTTTCTGCCTATCCCTCATTCTCCCTGGAGAAAGTGGTGGGGAGCCACTTGAACTGCTGCAGTCTGTGTGGTGTGGAGGCACCCAAAATGCTGTTAGGGAGGGAGTTGCAGGATTGTGACCTAGTGACAGTGAAGGAGTGGTGATATCATTCCAGTTCCGCTCAGTGGGGAACTGGAGGTGTGGTGTTCCCATCTATCTGCTGCCCCTATCCACGTGGAGTCCAAGTTTTAGAAGGTGCTGTATGTTAGTGACGGAGGAAGTGAGTGTTGAAGCTAGTGGGAGTGTTGCAAGTCAAGTGGGCTGCTTTATCTGGGATGGTGTTGAGCTTTGAGTGTTGTTGGAGCTGCCTCATCCAAGTGGGGAGTATTCCAACACTGCTTTGTCAATGGTGGACAGGCTTTGGGAATGTGGGTGAGACACTTAGCACAAATTGTCTCTTTGTGGCTCAATGCCAAATCTTTAACACTCCTACAGAGCACCTCAGGATATTTGTGTCAATGCAAGTCCCTGAAGCCACAATTCTGTCATGACAGAATTTGTCTGAGACTTCCAACGTTTCCCGTTTCCTGATCTGAAGGATATCTGCTGGAAGATCACACTCTGAAAGGCTGTTCCATGTGGGCACTGTATGCGGTGCTTAGTTCTCCAATTAATTTTGCAATAAATGTTTCCATCTCCTCACTTCCCCTTCCTGTCTCCTTTTTCAAAGGTTCTTCATGTCCTTTGGAGTTCAGCTTAAATGTCTGATTTCCATCTGTGTAAAAATGTATTTCATTCATTAAAAAAAGTTTGTATATTCACAGGTACAAAAGTAATTCTGTACAGTCTTCTTGCATGTCAAGAAAAACAAACATCTCAGTATGCAAACACCAAGTGTCCCTATATACTGAGGTTCCTCCTGTCCCTCCAAGTAGTTGGACTGTTTTGTATTGTCTGTCCTTCATGGAGAAATTTGAAAAGAAAAATGCCTTTTGGCCGCAAGTCCTTTAGGGAAGTGGTCAGCACACATCATGACCCTGTGGGAAAAGGAGAGGGTGGATCCTGTCACATGGTTCCCTGAGCAGACTCTGAAAGTCATTTGGCAGAATGCCTCATTGCCAGAGCTTTCCAACAAGCACCAAGGTGTAGCTTGGCTGTTAGTGAAAAGGGCACTGCCTGTCAGATCCTTCATGTATGCCTGGACTCTGTGCACCACCACATGCTGCCCTCGAAGCAGCTGCATGGGGGTGTACAAACTCTCACTTCCCCTTTTGGAACTTGCTTTTGCCAAGTAAGTCTGGAGCAAGATGCAGTGGTTTTTGTTGAGGTTTGTCCTGAGCAGCTCCATGAATGCAGGATTCTGTGCTCTATGGTCTTTCCTGGGCCCCACACTGAGACAAACAGCAACTGCACCTGGAGGACCATCACAACTGTGAAAGACGCTCTTTAGTCTGCCCGAAACAACATGTTGGTTTTCCAGTGTAAAGAGTTGACCTCGACCAACTATTGCAGACTGGTGCATGTCAAGGTCCAGGACTATGTGCTGAGGGGGACACTAAAGTTTGGGGCAACTACTGCCAAGGCATGGTGAGGAACAACCACTGTTTTTTTGAGGTCTTTCTGCTAAAGTTTAACAAGTCTGTTCGGTTATCAGACCCTCTTGTTGTCTCACTGTACATAAATACACTCCTGCATGAGTAAGGAATGCCTTTGTTTTATTTGCAGCTGTAGGGAGTGATTTGAAATTCCGATACCAAGAGGCAACACCATGAAGCTGCTGGCTGCTCTGGCTATCTGCTCCTCATTCTTCCTGGTGACTGCCAGAAATAAGCCTCAACCTTGTGGTGAGTACTTTTTTCTTAAACTACACTGTTTCAGATACCAAGGCAATAGGACAGAGAGGGGACTGGAACAATGCAGTTTACAATTGGGATGTCTGGAGACTGTCTTGATGTCGTCTCCTATGTTCTCGTTTCCTGAGTATTGGCCCGTGGACTGCCATTTGATTAGCCAATGCTTATTTACAACTGCGATTTCATATTAATATCACACGTTCCACGTCTGACTTGCATCTCAAGGACAAACCATTTCAAATGGAAATGAGGTGTGCAGTAAGTTCCACGCAGGTGGCTCAATGTGATTTCAGTGCTGTTAATGTGTAACGCCACAATGCTGAAGAAACTCAGCAGGTCTGGCAGCATCTGTGGTGAGAAACAAAGTTAATGTTTCCAATGTGACTCTCTACAGTGTTAATTTCTCGCTTGCTCGCTCTCTCTCCCCCAAGGATGCTGCATTTCGTTTCAGATTTCCAGCATCTGCAGTATTTTGCACTTACTGTTGAAGTTCATGAGGTCAAATCATATTGAGGTATCTTGAAGCCATGTGAGGACAAGTGGACTTTACTGTGTATTCTGTAGTATTAAAGTTGAAATGTTTTGTGATGTACATTTACAAAGTTCATGAATAATGGTCTTACAAGTGAAATACTGCAGTGGTTTGCCATGACCATCTCCAGATGGGATGATTTACAGGCTGACACTCCTATTTGGCCAAAACTCCCCATCTGTAGCCAACAAGGCCTGGCAATCAAACAAAATGCATCCACCCCAGAGGTAGGCATGTTGCCTACTGCATCACAAGACTCCCTAATATGGGAATGGGGCATCATTAATTGAATGCCCTTGCCCCACCAAAGGAAACAATTGCTCTACTTCTACCCTATCAGGAACCTGTTTACGAACAGTGTAGTGATTGATTGGAACAAGGTTAGCCAGGTGGCCCTCCATAGAATGAGTTCCCTGGGACTGTTAACCTGGTCCAATCAGGGAGCCTTGGCTGACAGATAAACCGGAGTGTCAGAGGTTCTGTTGACTCAGCTAGCTCTGAGGAAGCTGGATCAGTGTCAAGGGCTCTCAATGTGTAAATAAAGGGAGATTTGGTGACAGGATACCAGCCTCCATGGAGCTGTCTCAAACACCTCGATTGGATCGTCCACCTGGGGACAAGTTTGTACAAACTGCTCGGAAGGATAACGAATAATAGGTAGAGCCCTCGGGTGTATCTGGCCTGTCTCTCGGCACAATGGTCAGAACCTATCTTTCCTACCTCTCCTACGTCTATCCTGCTCTAGATTGCCCTCCAATTTGCCAGAGGTTAAGAAAACTAGAGAAACCGCAGGGTCAGTAAGAGAAAATTGCACTGGAATCTTCCTATCCAACCATCTTGGGCAATGGAAAGATTCCAGGAGATCACATGAACTAAGTAAGTGTTATATATAAATACATCTTGTCTATATATACACACCACACCCAATCCAAAACCTTCTGTGACCTCCTGCGGAGTGTGAAATAGTCCTGATTAGCTGAACTCTACAGCGTGCTCATGTGGATGGAGAATAAATGACCCCTCCAACCCCCCCCAACACCCCTGTCCCCAAGTAAGAGGTAGGCCACTCTGCCATTCAATAACATCATGGCTGATCTGATCTTTAACCTAAACCCCAAATTCCTGACAAGATTTCATTCCCCCTTAGTGGACGATGCTGGACATTTTTTACTTTTTTTAAATTTTTTTTCTGAAGAATCTGTACCCAAGATGGTGCTGTAAAGTAGTGAGATGTAAACTTTTCCACTGTACTCAGTTGAGTACATGTAACAATAAAGGTAATTCAATTCAATAGTAATCAAGAATCTGTCTACCTCTGCAATGAAGCTATTTAATGACTCTGAATCACAATTTGCCTACCTCCTGACATACCTTTCCTGTATAGATCCCAGTGGTCTGGGTGATAGAAGATGGAGGGGGCACTTGATGGGATAATGTTGCCCATTATGGGAGAGAGTAGAATGTAGCACATGGCTTAAAAGTGGAGGGTCACCCATTTAGAACAGAGATTAGGAGGAATTTTCTGAGCATGGAACACCCTCTCTTAAACAGAATAGAGTTGAGAGAGAGACTCCTCCTTTGTACAATATGGTTCCAAGTCAGGATAGCATGTGAGCTGGGACAAACTTTTTTCTGTCTAATAGAATCACAGGTAAATACAAAGTTGTGAAAGGACGTAAGGGGATTGATGGAGTAAATGCAATGGATGGAATTCAGTACGTGGAAGGTGAGGAGCCGGACACTTCAAAGCCAAGGAGGATGAATTGGAAAATTCACTTTTTTACCAGCAAAATGAGGAAATATGAAATAGTTTTGGGAATCTGGCATTTTAACCATAGGAGGTAGACAGGTACAAAAAAAATTTAAAAGGTGGATGGAATGGCGGCTTTTATCTAACGGATAGGAAAGAAGTAACATTTCAGTTGTATCCAAGTCTTAGTCTGATAACGTTAGAGTCTGAAGTTACATTCTGGGTGCTGCATGTCAAGAAGGTTCTCTTGACTTTGGTGAGAGCCTGGTGTAGATTCAAGGGGATGATACAGTCATGTTCATGAAAGTGGTCTAAATATTGATTAACACCTTGGGTAGTTTGTTTAAAACAGTTCTGAAGTGGACATTACAGCAAACCAACTGGTTTCTGTCTATCCAGCTTGCCAGGCAGAGTCGTAACATTGTATATACGTGCATGTTGGTTCTTTAAAGGTGAGCTTTCAAAAGCAAGGTGTACATATAACAGATATCTGGACTTAACAGGGTTAAATGTAGTGTGACAGGACAGACCAGACCTGACCCCCCTCCCTTTAAAATAAAGTAGTCTAGGCCCTAATGTTTTCTTATTTTAAAGGTAAATGCGATGTGCTGTGTTCCAGATACAATTTGATTGGCCAATCTACTCAACATTAAGCAAAACACAATTTATTCAAATGCTTTAGTTAAAATACAACAAAAGAAAGAGGAACTTGAAATAATTTATTGGAAAACCTAACAGAATAATGGATACAGTAACTATTGCTAATTAAATGTTCCAATATAGTAACATCCCATAAACGCATCCTTAGCAAAAGGCAAATTCAGAAAAACAGATTTGCATGCAGTCCAGCAGCCCAGGAAGAGCCCCCAGCTTTTGGCTATACTGGAGAGAGGGGGAAAAATAGCTTCCACTTCAAGACCCCAACAGCAACTGCTGAAAACTAAACCTAAAAATCCCTGGTTCTTTGGGTGGGAGCTTGACCACACCCATTCAGGCTGCTTCTATTATTCTAACTTACTTGAACAAAAATGCAAGGCTCCACAAGTTGTTTATCTTCTCAGACTGCTCAATACCTGTCCCCAAAACTTTTTTCTAATTTTTTTTTTCAAAAAAAAAAAAAGGACACAGCATGCCTCTGAGCCATAGCATCACAACAATGCAAGTAGTGACATGAGTTGGTAAGGGTTGGGGAGGAGTTTTCCTTTGTTCAAGTCAAGAACAAGTGCACACAAATACAGGTAGTTCTCCTATAACATGATGATGATTATGATCTTGTGACCTCTCCCTAGAAAATTGCATTATAGGGAAATTGCTATACTATACAGTAGAAACTGTTATCCAACCAGTGTCCACTACTCATCCGAGTCAACACATTGCGGAGCTGAAGCAACAATAGGAAAGTTGACATTGTCTGATGCTGCCTGACCTGTGTTCTTCCAGCTCCACACCGTTATCTCTGACTCCAGCATCTGCAGTTTTTGCTGTCTCCACTATTCAGCTGTCTTGTTACAGCCAATTTGTGTTAACGAAACATGCATTATACAGGTATTTATGCTATAAAACAGCTATTAACAGCTCAAATACAGAACTTAAGAATTTCTTGACAGAATGAAGATATGGAAGTTGCTGCACATAGTGACATGAAAGCAAGTCACATCAGTGCATTTTAAAGAGGGGTTTGGCACAATGTGACAGAGGGATAAAGGGATCTGGGACCAATGTGGGCAGAGGCTATTAGAATAGAAGAGGCCCATGTGGAACATAATCTCTGGCAGGGTCTGGTTGGGCTGAATGGTCTCTGTTTCTGAGTATCTAGTCTATGTTACTTGACAGTAGAGAATGATAAACATGATCAATGATCCACTTGAATAGACTCGTGCTGCCTATAACAGCTTTTCCTTTGCTTTTTATCTTGCAGTTGGACCAAAGCTTCTGGAAGGTCGAATGGCTACTGTGAGTATCAGGATTGTAATGTTTGGTGTCTCTGATCTCCCCCAGAGTTTGGAGGGGCACTGAATCTTTAATCTGTCATGCCCGTGCTTGCCTGAAGCTACATGTATTCACAGGCACGGCCCCTCTCCTCTGCCAACAGAGAAGGCGTGTCCAGCTATTGCACCTTTTTCAATTAAACAAAAGCATGGAAGAACCACTCTCCTTGTTGCCTTTCCCACAGCAATGCTGAGTCATCTCAGCTCCCGGAGGAGTTCCTGTACTGTTGTCCTGGTGGTGTCCTAGGCCCAACCATTTTTAGCTGCTTCATCGATGACCTTCCCCCTATCCCCATTTCTGACCTTACAATGTTTGATTGTTCAAACATTGTTACATATCCAGCTAACAAGTAGCAAGTAACGTTTACGCTACACAAGTGTCAGGCAGTGATTATCTTCAATCAGGAAAAGCCGAAGCATCATCTCTAGACATTCAATGGAATTATCACTGCTGAATCCCTTTCTTTAAATTCCAAAGTACTGGTGGATCATCATGCTATTGTCATGAGAGGCAGCTGGTGGTGTTTAAACCTAAGGGTCACCATACCTCCGGTGACAGGGGAGGTTGATAGCCTATGGCAAACTTACCTCTAACCCACTATTAATGTCTTTGGGTGTTATCATTGACCAGAAACTGAACTGGATCAGCCATATAAACACTGGCTACAAGAGCAGGTCAGAGGCTAGGAATCCTGTGGTGAGTAACTCGCTGGCTGACTTCCCCAAAGCCTGTCCACCATCTACAAGGCACATGTCAGGAGTGTGATGGAATAATCCTCACTTGTAGGTGCAGCTCCAACAACACTCAAGAAGCTTGTCACCAAAGGCAGCCCATCTGATTGGCACCGCATCCATAAACATCCACTCCCTCCACTATTGACACTCGGCAGCAACGTGTACCATTTACAAGATGCACTGCAGAAATTCACTAAGGCTCCTTAGACAGCACTTCCAAACCCAAGAGAAGGACATGTGGGAACACCACCTCCTGCAAGTTCTCCTCTGAGCTACACACCATCCTGACTTGGAAATATGTTGCCGTTCCTTCACTGTCACTGGGTCAAAATCCTGGAACTCCCTCCTAACAGCACTACAGCTGACCTTGCACCATACAGAATGCTGCGGTTCAAAAAGGCAGCTCCCCACCACCTTCCCAGGAGCAATAAATGCGGAGTGCAGTCAGTGATGCCATGATATGACTTGGAGAGAATTGGATGCTGTTTGTTTTCTCGTTCTCAGCCTTTCCTTCTAGTTTCTTTCCCCCTCCTGTTGGCATTGACTTCCTCCTTCGCCAATGGGTGCACCGATGCACCAGTGACTGCAATGATCGATTGCTACCACCTCATCATTTGAGACACCGCAATCAAGTCTTGACCAGAAAAGAGCCCCCACCCCCAAGATGGTGTGGACTTTTCTAATGGGTATAACCTTTTCAGTATCTCATCCTTGTCAATCTCTTGTTTTAAAGTTCAACCCGAGCAAGCAGTATGAGGTGTGGTCCAAGTTCTCCTTTGACGGGATAGGAAAGAGGATATATGCTGAAAATTTGGTGGTGATGGACAAAGGCATTAAAGTCTTTGTGTGGGATTTCTTCCTGTTCAAAGAGGTGAGTTTACAGACCCACAGGCTTCTGATTTGATTAGGTAATCACTGCCCATTATCCTGACAAAGAATCCTGAGAGTCTCCCACCACGTGAGGCAGTATTCCATATTTTTGTTTCATGGTGAGGGATAGAAATAACAGGACGCCTTCCGTTCAGAGCTCGAACACCAAGCTCCACACCACCTGACCATACTCAATCCTGCCATTTTAAAAAAAACTGCACTGGCCCAAACATTCCCAGATAAGGGACAGCGCAGTTAGATACAGAGTAAAGCCTCCCTTACACTGTCCCTTGTCAAACACTCCCAGGAGAAGGACAGCACAGCGTGAGATACAGGGTGAAGTTCTCTCTGCACAGAGAAAATCTGTTGCTATTATTGTTTGGGACTCAGACTGTGAAGTATTGGAATGATGTATCGTCATTAAGTTTGATTGGTATTTGATGATGAGTGAAGAAGCTGCTTTCTGATTTTATTTCAGATTTGTTCTTTGATGTTGGAGATTTTGTTTGTCTACGTGCATTGAAATGGGTTGAAATTGAGGTGACCAGTTCAGTGCATCAGAAATTAAGAGCAGGAGAGCTTAAAATCTACCAGTGACAGGAGTTGAGTACCACAAAGTCAGAACTTTGTTTCAAATAGGCTTTATCTTCTAACCTGACCTGACCTTGCCTGCCTTTTGTCTCTTGTCATTGAGTAATGCTTGATTCGTAGCTATTTCAATCTGACATGCAAGTCATCATTAGGGGAGTTCTCATGTAAACAACTGTCACAACAATTTGGAGATGCAGCTGCTAGGTGGCACTGCCGCTCCATTGTCTACAACATTGCAGATTTGGAGTTAGAACAGAAAAACTGGTCAATCATCAATTTAATCTTCAAAGAACTAATTTAAGAGGTAAAAGTCAATGAATTAACACACTCTACAATAGCAGTGAGATGTTGAGTGCAGAATAACCAAATGGATGGAATGTTAGTGAGGTTTAGATCTTCACTGGGTTGGTGAGCACTTAGTCAGACGTCCTGATCTGTAGAACTGGGTGGTATTGTAATGCTTCTTTGTTTGACTCCTGTCTTTTTGTCTCCTCTACTTGCAGAACGTTATGTACCAATTCTACCCCCAAAATAAGACGTGTGTGAAGAATCCTCTTCGTGTTCCATTCCTGCCCATTGCAATTCCCCAAAATGCAACATTTGTTACTCAGCTGTACATTGGAGGCTCCTCTGCTCCGGGAGAGGGGATGCTGGCCAATGTTTGGAGCGGTGAAGTTGGCACTGGTAAGAGCAAGGGTGGATTCCTATTTAACCTTCTCCCCACTGCTACGCTCTTCTGTCGTTCTGTGGTAAAGGCCCATGAGTTCTCCACCTGATTGGGTTCTGGCAACTTGTGCCTTTTTCATTGGAGAGCACAATGTGCCAGGTCAGTTGTCTCCCCCACTGGTCAGATTCCAGATGAGATCTGTGAAATCCTGCCTGATTATTTCTTTTCCCCCTCACCGCCATCGGTACGCTGAGGATACCATCTTGTTCGGCTGACAACCAGGATTGAACCTCCTCTGGCCTGTGTGCCAAAGGATCCTCTGAAAAGGAGGAGATCATTCAGCTTTTTCATCCCCTTCCACTGTTCAAGGAAATCATGGCTGCTCTGTGAATTTGGCCTTGACAGCAATGATTGACTCAACATTAACTGCCTTTTTGTTTTTCAAGATTCCTAAATATGTGCTGTCCTTTATGTACAGACGTTTGCAATCTTTCTTGAAAGATTGGATGTTCTGTCTCATGATCAATGTGCCAGTTTACCTTTTAAGAGATATGCTGATGATATCGTCACTGCATCATGACACATGACCTGAGGGTGTAGAGACCTCATTCCATCTTACCCCAGGATCACATAGGCATGATGTGCTGGAAGAATCTTGCTCTTTGTAATCTTAACTGCATATGAAGAATGTAGTTTTTACATCTAGTAGTTAGCTGTTATAATGTCTGTCTAATGCTCAATGCCACCTTATCAATATCCAGGTTGTTATAAGGATAATATAAACGTTACCACATCAGGTAAAATACCCTTTTGGAGGCCAACTCATTGTGGTTAACAGTAGTAGTCCTCTTTAGCCTCCATAATTTTGCTATTAGATATTTGATAAACTAATTGAAGGGCCACCAGACAACCTTTGGACAACAGAATTCAAATAAAGCAACTATTTAGCAACCTTCAGTATCAGTTTTTGAGTACAGACAGCTGTACAGATTTGTAGGAACTGCCAATGCTGGAGAATGAGATAACGGTGTAGAGCTGGATGAACACAGCAGGCCAAGCAGCATCAGAGGAGCAGGAAGGCTGACGTTTCGGACCTAGACCCTTCTTTACACCTTGTTATCTCAGATTCTCCAGCATCTGCAGTTCCTACTATCTCTGAAACAATTTTAACCCCATTGCAAAGCCTCTTCTAAGGATGCCTACCCTGAAGTTACCCTCCTCCCTCCAGGAAAAACCTCAGTGGATCTCTCTCCCACTGCAACTCTCTCATAATCTCTTCGGCCTTGAAACATTTCTGAAGAAGGGTCCAGGCCCGGAACATCAGCCTTCCTGCTCCTCTGATGCTGCTTGGCCTGCTGTGTTCATCCAGCTCTACACCTTGTTATCTCTATGTACAGATCTGTAGACTGGGCACTAATCATGAAGACAACACTTTCTTTCATTAGAATGTTATTTCAAGATTAAAGAAATTTTGTAAGAGTGCCTTTTTAGATATGAATATAACCAAACTAAAATGTACCAACCTATATCAAGTCTCGATGGTACTTTTTTCTCAAAGAAATAAGTGCAAGAGGCTTGAGACTCTTTTTACAAATAAGATAGTCAAATAATCCTAAAAGTACAGTTCCAAAGCTTCTCTGGAAGAAAATGCTTAAAACCTGTAATGGTGGAATGGCTATCCAGTGAAAAAAAAATCACCTTTACTGAATTGTAACTGTTCAAATAACATGCAGCTGTACATTACAGATCAAGCAATAGATGATTCTTAAGACAAGACCCAAAAAAGATTGGGATTGCTCTTGAAGACCAAGTCTAGGGAAGAATTAACTTCAGGATTAACAGACACCAACCCCAAGAGTCAATTGACCAGTTCGTCAGAAGATTTGACAGCAAAAGGTGATTGTGACCTTCCCAAAGAGGAACTGTGTGAGAGATTCCTTGTAGAGACAATGGTCAATTCATCTATTTAACTTTGTTTTAGGAAGGTGCTTTTGGGCATGAACAAGATCCAAAACACTGAATTGACTGAGGATGAATCCAACTATCAAGCCATAGTGGAGGCTAGCAAGCATAGTGTGGTGAAGCCAAAATTACTGCTACCATCAGCAAAGTGCACCAAACCATCAAAATCTGTTAACAATGTGGTCTGTCGCATATACCCAAAAGCCATTCAACCTTTTCTGATATCTGTATAGCAAGGGACAGTTGGGATGCCTGGATTGGAAATCTGATTCTAAAGTCCAAGCCAGATCCAGAACGAAGCACAACTAACCCACCAGCTGGTACAACACCCACAATGCGAAGGTGCACGCTGTCAATGCCCACAATGTCTGGAGTCAACCAGGCAAAATTTCAGAAGATGACAAATTAAGAGCTAAAACTGACATGGGGAGCTAATGCCCATATATTACCACTGTACATCCTGGAAGATATGTACCATGTGGCACCTCCATGTGAAAGGGTAAAGTTACCAAAGTGGCACCAGACCAAAGGGCTGCTGTCTCATCAGTGAGAGATGGTAGGTCACCATGCCTCAGGGGCAGGGATAGGTTGAGGAGGAGAGTCCTTCATGGTAATGTCAGCCAGTGTGGAAATTGAACCCATGCTGTTGGCATCATGCTATTTCAAACTAGTGTCCAGCCTGCAAGAACCCACTTCTCAGAGTTTAATAGATCACTAACTATGTGCATGGTAGAATCTCAATGCCATGTAATCCACAAACTCACCTTGGCTTTCGGAAATTTTCTACCAGCAGTGGCAACTCCGCCAGGATATACTGATCCCAGTGTAGCTACAGTTCATGAGATTCCTATCATACCCACTGTGCTGGAATAGTCTACACGTAATGCAATTGAATCAATCAGCCCTCTCAAACCTCTTTCCAAATGGATTTGGTATGATTGGAAATAATCAGTCATATAGCACAGAAACAGACCCTTCAGTCCAACCAGGCCAGGGTGAACATAATCCTAAGTTAAACTAGTTTGCCTACTTCTGGCCCACATCCCTCCAACCTTTCCTATTTATGTACCTATCCAAATGTCTTTTAAATGTAACTGTACCCTTATCCACCACTTGCTTAGGAAGTTCATTCTACACGTGAACCACCCTCTCTATTTAAAAAATGCATCCCATGTCTTTTTTAAAGCTCTCTCCTCTCACCTTGAAAATAAGCCCCCTAAAATTGAAATCCCTCAGCCTAGGGGAAAGATAAGATTAATGGTAGTTATCTACACCTCTCATTATTTTATAAGCTTCTATCAGTTTGTTTCAACCTCCTAATGCTCCAGTGAAGAAAGTCCCAGCCTTTCTTTATAACTCAAACCTTCCATATCCAGCAACATCCTAGTAAATCTCTTCTGAAAAATCTCTTCTGAACCCTCTCTAGCTTAATAATATCCTTCCTCTAACTGGGCTACCAGAACTGGACACAGTGCTCCAGCAAAGGACTCACCAATGTCTTGTACAACCTCCTATACTCAGAGGTCCGAGCATTGAAGGCAAGCGTGCTAAACACTGCGTTAACCACCCTGTCTGTGATGCAAACTTATAAGAATTATGTACCTGAACCCCTAGGTCTCTGTTCTACAATGCTGCCCAAGGCCCTAACATTAATTGTATAAGCCATATTGCATATAAGGATATTGCATCCCATTTACTGATCCTCCAAGGAATTGTACATTCGAGAGAAGCTTCAATTGGAACTCAGTGAAATGGATATGGCTCATTGACTTTTGGCCAAAGCCAGATGACCTTGGTATATGACCGATTGTCTTCAAGGGCAAACAAACTCTAATAACCAAAAGCATTGCACAAAGGTGTCATGTCCTTGAGATGAACACCCAGATACTGAGTCCATGATTTTGTCTACTGGGCTGGAATGAATCAGGATGTTCACGAATGTATGGAAACCGTGCCCAAATGTACGAGCCTGGTCAGTTGGGGGAGCTTCTACATCTGCACAGTGTTTCATTCACACCCGCACCCAAGTAACAACAAACCACTCCCCACACAGGGAGAAGATTATATCCACGGATCACTTCTCTAACATAAAGAGTAGGAAATTTAGAAATACAACAAGGCCAAACATGGCTGATACAATGAGCATTATTTTCAGTTTATTCGGTAGCACAGATGAGACAGTATCTGCAAATGGATTGCAATACACTGGCAAAACATTTCAAGACGTGTTAACTGAGGAGAGATCTATGTTTCTTTGTCCTCCCACCATCGACACTCGAATGTATGGTACATGCTAAAGGACATCAGTGAACCAGATGGGTTTTTATGATAATTGGTTGATTGTCATATACTGAGTTTCATGATCCCCATCTGAGGCTAACTTTACATTCCAGTTTAATAGTGTAATTTAGAATTGCACCAGCTTTTGAACACTCATTCCCAGAGCATTAACTGGAGCCTGTGGGTTACTAGCCTACATCACTGTCCTGACATCATCTCCCTTTTAGATTGGGACAGTATTGCCCACTGTGCAGTAACTATTTTCCCAAGTTCCCTGTAGCTGAGTCGCCCTTAGTCAGGTGAGTAGGCTAAAAGCCATCTAAGATGTTACAGTAACAAGATAATTTTCCACTTTTTGGTATCAATCCAGTGACTCTGAAATTACGCTGTCCCAGTGCAGCAAGTAGTTGGGAAGCTAAATGGTATGTCGGTGTTTATCACAAGAGGATTTGAGTTTGGGGAAAAGTGTCTTGCTGCAACTACACAGAGCCTTGGTGAAAGCTTGCCACTGGAGTATTGTGCCTTTCCAAAGAAAGGTATATTTGTCTGAAGGGAGTACATAGGAGCGTCATTGGACTGATCCTGGAGATCACTACGTCCTCCCAGGATGGGAGATTGAGGAGATTTGGGTCTAGAGTCTCGGGAGTTTAAGAATGGAAGAAGAATAAAGTTCTTCCAGGGCTCGACATGATGGAAGCAGGAAGGAGGTCCCCCCTGGGGAGAGGACAGGCTAGAATCGGGAGAGGAGACCTTCTCGGGAGAAGGGGTTGGCTATTTTGGACGGGGTGGGGGAGGGGGGTGGGTGGGTGGTTGGTGGTAGGTATTTCTTCACTTGGAGAGTGGGAAGTCCCTTGGGATTCTCTGCCAAGAAGGCAGCTGAGGCTCAGTCGTCAAGTATGTTCAAGGCAGGTTCATCGATTTCTTGATATTTAATGCTGCTGAGAGATATGGGTATAGCGCAGGCAAGTCCGGCCAAGGCAGAAGATCAGCCACAATCTAGGATGATGGAGTAAGCTTGAGGGGCCAAATGGCCTGCTCCTACATTGCTGTGTACTGAACCCCTGTCCCCACAGCACAGCTGCCTGTTCACTCTGCTGGAGACTGACTGACTGTGAACTTGATAAAAGTTTATTAATGTAGTGCAAACACAGACACCAGGAAAAGAGTTGGTCCCATTTGCAGATGTTGGCCCCTAATGTTGACATAAACAATTTTTTTCCCATTGTGTTGTTTCTTCCTCCCCCAGTGCACTACATGTTGACGTTCACAGAGGTTGGCTGTCTCCCTGTATCGGAGCTGTATTACATCAAGGAGACCGGCTGGGTCACTGAGATGTGAGTTGCTTGACGTTCTCTCTGCCTTAGTACATTTTAAAATTCATTTAGCAACTCCGCCTTCCCCCACACCTAACATCACACCGCCTCCAGTCCTCTCTGTTCCTACACCTGTCGCTCACTGGGCTGCATGGCAAAAGGTCCTGGATTTGGCTGCTAAACCTGGCTGTCTCCTCCCACAACACCTGAACACAGTGAGGATCAGCTGGGAGGAGGAATGTAGAGTGGACTCCATTCTGCCCAGCTCCCTTAGCCCAGAGATCCCACAACCACTGCTGACTCAACTGCAAACAAGGTACTTGGCACCAGTCTTTGAACCATACAACCATAGAGGAGTTACATCACAGAAAGAGGCCATTCAGCTCATTGTGTCGGCACTGAATAGACTAGCCATCTGTTCAAATCCCATTTAGCAGCACCTGGTCTGTAGCCTTGCAGGTTCCAGCACTTCAGGGGCAAGGGCAGATCCAGGCTTATTTGAAATGAGTTGAGGGGTTTCCTGCCTTTAAACGCCAAACTGAGCAGCGAATTCCAGACACTTACCAGCCTCTGGGTGAAAAGGTTTTCCCCTCCTGTTCCCTCTAACCCTTCTGCCAGCCACCTAAAATCTGTATCCCTTGGTAACTGCCCCATCCTATAGGGGGAATAGGTCTCCCTGGCCACCCTACCCAATCCCCTCATTATTTTGTATACCTTGATTAAACCACCCTTCAGTCTCCTCTATATTTGAGGGAAAATGACTCTAACCTATTCAATCTTTCCTCAAAACTGCCCTTTTCAAACCCTGGCAACATTCTTGTCAATCTCCTCTGTACTCTCACTAGAGATATTACTTCCTTCCTGTAAGTGTGGTGACCAGAACTCTACAGAAAACTCCAGCTAACTAGTGCCTGATACAGTTCTGGACATGCCTGCTCTTGTATTCAACACTTCACCCAGTGAAGGAAAGTATCCCAAATGCTTTCTTTAGCATCTTTTTCTACCCACCCTGCCACTTCCAGGACTTGTGGACGTAGGTGTCTCCCTTCCATTACCCTCTCAGTACCCTCCTGTCTATTTTATATTCCTTGCTTTGTTTGCCCTCTGCCAACACACAACCTTTCAGTTCTCCAAACTGAATTCCATTTGCTGCTTCTCCACCTGCTCGGTCAAACCATTAACATCTTCCTGCAGTCGACACTTATTCTCTTTTGTCATCAGACAGTGTGCAAATTTCCCAATCATGTCTCCCTCATTAGTCTAAATCATTAATGTGTACCACAGACAGAAGAGGACCCAACACTGAGCCCCTGTCGAACACCACTGGAAACCACTTTCATCCACCGTCCATTATCCTTTTATTTCCTGATGCTAAGAAGTTTGGATCTAACTTATCACATTCCCCTGAATCCCATGGGCCTTTGTTTTTTCTGACCTCTGTCACCTGGAGCCTTGTCTCAAGGGACCTGACTCAAATCCACATTCATGGCACTACTCTCGCCGGTCCTCCTCCTTATATCCTCAGTACTTTACATTAGTACGACAACCTTTCTTACACGAAACACTGCTGACTATCCTGGATTACTCTGCTGTGCGTGCATGTGCATGCCCCCGCCAAACATGTGGCCCGGGACACCATGGGGCCATTTAGCATGGCCGCACCTGCACATCATTGGACTGGGGGAGGAACCTGGAGCACCCACAGGAAACCCATGCAGACAGGGGACAAAGTACAAACTCCACACCGTTGCCCAAAGGTCGCATTGAACCCAGATGCTGTGAGGCAGCAGTGCTAACCACTGAGCCACCGTGCTGCCCTTCCCTGCAGTACCCAGTACTGAGGAGCTTCTCCCATCTGTCTGGAAGTCTGTCTCAAGGCGCCACTGACAGTGCAGCACTCCCTCAGCACAGCAGTAGTCGGCATGCCCTCAGCCAGGAGTGAGGCTAGACCTTTCTGACTGTGAGCCTCTGCTTTCCCATTCTGACACTGACTGCTGTTATGACCTACACACACCCTCTGGTGATACAGGTATCATTTCTGGGTTGGGAAGGTGTGCTGCAGTGAGATTCCCTGCTCCGATACAACCTGGTCCTGGCATCTGGAACCTCAATTCTCAAACAGCTATCTCGTGCAATACACAGACCCAGTGAACACAGGAGATCATTCCAAACACACCATGGGCTCACCACATTTGGAGAGGAATATCCCTCGTTCATTTCCTTGTTGGGCAGGGGTCTAAAATCAGTGAAAAAACTACATGTCCCAAACCCTGTTTTCCTCCATGCTGTGGGTGTTCCTCCTCACTGAATAAGTCTGAGTTCCTCTGATACATGTAATATTTCCCACTCCAATCCCTGCCTCAGTTCATCCACTGCTGAAACCCTCACCCAGATCCTTGTTGCCTCTGATTACCTCTGTGTCCTGAGAGAGTTAATCTCCCACCATAAAGGTCCGCCTAAACTCTGCTGCCTGTCTCCTACCTTGTGCCAGGTCCCATTCAGCCACGAGTCACTCTGCTCACTGACCTACATTGGCTCCTACATCCACCGATCCTCAATTTAAATTTGTCAACTCTTAATTTCAAATCTCTCTGACTGTAAACTCTTCCGACCTCTATACCCCCTCCCTGTTTCTGTAACCTCCTCCAGCACCTGCACCCTTCCCTATCTTGGCACAGTGGTTAGTATTGCTACCTCATTAGTGCCAGGAACCCGGGTTCAATCCCCATATCGGCGACTGTCTGTGTGGAGTTTGCACATTCTCTCTGTGTCTGCGTGGGTTTCCTCCAGTGCTCTGGTTTCCTCCCACAGTCCAAAGACGTGCAGGTTAGGGTGGGTTGGCTATGCTAAATTGCCCGTAGTGTCCAGGGATGAGCAGGCTGGGTGGGTTAGCAATGACCAAAATGGGGTTACAGGGATGGGATGGGGTGGGTCTGGGTGGGATGCTCTTCGGAGGGTCAGTGCAGACCTGATGGGCTGAATGGCCTGTTTCCCTACTGTAGGGATTCAGATTATGACTGTAACCTCCTCTAGTCCCTGGACCCCTCCCTATCTCTGCAACCTCTGCGCCTACAACCAAGGACAAACCAGTCCACTTGACTGATGCCCTATCCATCACCTTCGTTCACTTCCTCCACCACTGACACAGTCACAGCAGTGTGTACCATCCACAATGCACTGCAGCACACACTTTTGACAGCACCTTTCAAACACACGACCTCTTAGTCCCTCATTGGACAAAGGCAGCAGGTGCATGGGAGCATGTGACCACCTGCAATTTCCCTCTTAAGCTGCACACCATCCTGACTTAGAAATAGAACATTTATACTTTCTGTCACTCTGTCAAAATGATGGCAGTTCCTCCTTAATAGCACTCTGGGTGTCCCTACTATCACAGTTGCACTGCAGCAACTCACTATCACCTTCTCAGAGGGTGATTAGGGATAGCCAGTGATAATGTGCAAAAATGCCAAAAGGGGGAAACCAACTAATCTGAACAGTGCCTGTCAGTTAATGGTCAATCATCATTAACTGCTGCATGACACTCACTACCAATCAGATCCCAATTGCCAACCATTAGCATTCTTCTTTCATACAGTATAAAACATTGCAAGAATTCCAATAAAAGGGAAAACCAATCAGTGTAGGATGAAATGCTTTGTTTTCAGCAATATTCACGGTTTGTTTTATTTCAGAAATGCCTTTACAAACACTCAAACATCAATAGAGAGTCCCTGATATCTGCACCCTAGGGTTTCCTCGCTGAGGCTGGCTCAACTGTAATCTGTTTCCTTTCAGCGCATTTCCGTGCATTCACCAGAAGATACTTTTCTCCTGCCAGCACCTTTCCTTCAAGATGCCTCAGACAAACTGCAAACCAAGCATGTGAATTCCTGTAAACTCAGTTTCCAGCTGTTTTTGCCAGATTTCTTACCAGAGAGTTAGATGTACTGCATTGGCCTATGCTCTTGCACACCCTACTTTGAATTATTCTGACTGTGTCATTACATCCCCTATTGCTAGGAGACAACCTAATTTTTGTCCCCTCTACCTTCTTTAATGCACTGAACAGCTAAACCCTACCCATTTCCCCAACCTCTAGGTGGATTTTACAACCTTGAAGTAAACAAAACATCCATACCAAGTCCAAAATAACTCTACAGATTTGCAAGTTCAAAAGAGAAATCTCCACCCTGAACACATTGCAAAATATCAATTAATCCTACAGTTAGTTAAATGTTGTTCTTAACACTGAACAAGCCTGTACTCATTCTGTTTTTACTTAAATTTCTAGGTTCTATGACTTAACCACAGGAATCCATAATCCCACTGTATTTATACCTCCTGCGGAGTGCTCTCACCTAAACTGAATAAGTGAGAATATTTGCTCTCGAACCTGATACAATAGAAAAATTTATCTGAAAAACTGGAATAAAGAACAATTGGCCTGTCTGTTTATTGAGATGGCAAACTTTGATAGTCAAATGTCCTGAAGTCATGCAAAATTCTGCCACCAGAAGTCCCCTTCACTAAAGAAGGCTAGCTAGCATTACAAAATACTAATCGACTCTACGGACATATTGTCATGCCTACCTGTAATAGCACTCTGGAAACTGTGCTCTATCATTCCTGGAAACGTCACAAAAATTAAAGATTTTTAAAAAGTTGCTGGGACTGGAGGGTTTGAGTTATAAGGAGAAATGGGATAGGCTGGGACATTGTTCACAGGAGCGTAGGAGGTTTATAAAATCATGACAGGTGTCTTTTCCCTAGGGTGAAAGTTTTCCACAGTCAGACTATATTTTTTTAAAGGTGTGGAGAAAGCTTTAAAAACACAAGGGGCAACTTCTTTACACAGAGGGTGGCTCGTGTGGAATGAACATCCAGAGGAAATGGTGGATGGTAGTTAAACATTTAAAAGACATTTGGAAACGTACATGAATAGGAAAGGTTTGGAGGGATGTGGGCCAAACGCAGGTAGGTGGGACTAGTTTAGTTTGGGATTATGGCCAGCATGGACTGGTTGGTCTGAAGGGTCTGTTTCCGTGCTGTGTGACTAAGTACACAAAATTTTCTAATTTACCTGATTATCAGAGCCAGGCTGACAAAAAGCATAGCAGGCCAGGTAGCATTAGAGGAGCAGGAAAGTTGACATTTTGGGTTGGGACTCTTCAGAAATGGCCATGGTCACTGTACTGTTCAAGAACTAGTTTATTACAGCCAGCCATAGGGCACAGTGGCTCAGTGGTTAGCACTGCTGCCTCATAGCACCGCTGCCTCATAGCACCAGGGACCCAGGTTCAATCCCAGCCTTGGGCAACTGGAGTTACATATGTTCTCCCTGTGTCTGCATGGGTTTCTTTCAGGTGCTCCAGTTTCCTCCCACAGTCCAAAGATGTGTGGGTTAGATGGATTTTTCACGGGGATGCTGGTTTAGTTATGAAGGTCTGTGATTTATCAGTTAAAATTCACCGCTTACAACAACTGCTGAAGGAAAGATGAACCGGTTTTGTTCACGTCAAAGATGGATTTTGACTGCAGAGGACAGAGTGAGACAGCTCTCATGCTGGTGGCGATCAAAGAATTTTCTCTGCACATCTTGTAGATGTACAGCCCTAAGCTGTTCTGTGACCTGAGAATCGATCACACAACAACAGGCTTTTGTAATGGATAACTGGTCACTAGCCTGTGGCCCAGTCAACTTCCTGTGATCACCCAACTTTAATGTGTGCACAGAACCCCCTCGGCTGTAGTTCATCTGCAAACACTTTAATTCCTGCTTGTTCAAACAGCAGTTTACACAATGTTTCACATGTTGTTCAGGTCTCTTTGTTTCCAAAGATTACTGCTTGTTTTGAAAAACATTTAATCTCATTTCATTAAAAAAAACATAAATAGAAGTGGGAGAGGGCCATTCGGCCCTTAGAGCCTGCTTACCCCCCCATTCAATACAATCATGCCTGACCATCCAAGTCCCTCCCCTTTTTCCCCACTTTCTCCCTATATCCTTTGCCCTCTAAGAATTTCAAAACATTCAATGCTTTGCCCTCGACTGCTTTCTGTAGCAGAAAGTTCTACAGTCTCCCCACTGTCTGGGTAAAGACATTTCTCCTCATGGCAGTCCTAAAGGTCCTGCCAAACATCCCTGGTTCTGGACTCCCTGGTCATCAGGACCGTCCTTCCTGCATTTACTCTGTCCATCCCTTCCAGGATTTTACAGATTTCTATGAGATTCCCCCCTCATTCTTCTAAATTCCAGTGAATGTAGTCCTAACTGATCCAGTCTCTCACCCCCTCCCCATCTCTGGAATCTCCTCCAGTCCCCTACACCCTTCCCCATCTCTGGAACCTCTCTTGCTCTGTTTTTTTTAAGCTATTTCCTGGAATTCTCACACTCAACAGCAGTAAGATTAGGGCAAGAGGCAAAATACTTGATCGGTGTCAAATATCTTTTGCTAATAATTTGGGCCACTTTCTCATATTGTAGGCACCATATAACTACAAGTTGTTGTTGTAATTATACACCACTGACCCTCCCACATTCCTGTCCAACTACCTGTATCGATGTCAGAGTCATTTCTTCATGGAATCTTGCATGAGAGAAAGAGTCTTGATCATGAATTTTTCCCACTCCTTATGTACTGAGCTATGGCCCAATGCCCGCAGTGTCGTGTTGGACCCAAAGTGTCACTGCCACCTTTTCCCATTCGGTCAGGGGACATGGGTGTCATTGGGCCCAGCATTAATCGCTCCTCTCTGGTTGCAGTGCAGGAGGCGGTGCTGAGCTGCCTTCTTGATTCTCTGCAATCTGCTTGGCTCAACAAATACAGAAATGACAACTCAATTGGTCTGTGAAACAATGGAAGATCTGAAGTAATCACATTGTGTGCTTTGGATATTAAAGCTAAAAAAATTAAGATTAATAAATGGACAATTCCTCAATTTCATCCAACAATTGGCACTACTGACTATGCAGCAACACTTCAGTATTGCACTGCTCAATTCTCCCTAACTGCTCGTGGGCCAGTCTCCACACTACCAAATGCGGCCCTTGATGCCCAGTGTAACCATGAGGCGAAGGTGAAGTAGAATCCCTATAGTATGGGATCAGGCCATTCAGCCCACACTGACTCTCCAAAAAGTGTCCCACCCAAACCTATAATTCCCATGGCTAATCCACCTAACCTACACACTGTGGGCAGTTTAGCCTGGTCAATCCCCCTAACCTGAATATTTTTGGACTGTGGGAGGAAACCAGAGCATCCAGATATGGGGTCAAATGTGCAAACCCCCAGGGTGGAATCCAACCCAGGTCCCTGGAGCTGTGAGGCAGCACTGCTAACCACTGAGCCACCATGCTGCCCCCAAGAGAAATGGCCAAAGTTTTGAAGAAGAGCCTGTGGATCTGAATCTGTGTTTCTCTCTCTCTCCCCACAGACACTACCAAGTTTCTGCAGCACTTTCTGTTTTTGTTTCATATTTCCGGCATCCACAGTTCTTTTGGCCCTTATTGTTTGCCCAAGGTGTAATGTCTGGCTGGGTGTGGAGCGATCAATCACTCTATCTGTAGCTCTCATCCTCATAGGACTCATCCACTGCCAGGAGAACATGTCAGGCAACTCCTAGCTGAACTCCTAGCAGACTATTTCTCACACTGAGTTGACTTTACAGCTGTCACTTAAAGGGAGGTTGGGGCGAAGGTTAAAGAGACAACATTGTTTTGTCAAACCCAGCCAAATAGGAAAATCGAATCTCCAGCAGTGATTCATAAGTAGGCAGCCGATTAATGTATGTCCAGTAGGATCAATGTAAATGATTTTACAATTAAAGTATATGTTGCTTGCTAACCCATCCAGGCAGCCTGCAGGGACTGGCAGATGCATCAATTTGGAAATGCCATTTATAATCATTGCAAACCGGATGTGGTTTGCACAAGGAGCCGGCGGAGATTTATGAGTTCAAGGCACCTCTAATTACTGGGACGTGATTGAAAGCAGAAGAAAGGTTCCCTATACTTAGTGCATTCCTCACCCCCTGCAGCGTCCCCACCTCTTCCGAAAGCTTCAAGTCCTCAAAATCCTGTGCCAAGCCCCTTTTTCTGCCCAAGTTCTGTTCCCCTTAATTTGTTTGTGGGATGTGATTCTCGCTGGCTGGGCTCGGCATTAATTACCTGTCCCTAATTGCCCCTTGAGAGGGTGGTGGGGAACTGCTTTCTTGAACGACTGCAGTCTGAGTGCTGTAGGGATACCCACACAGTGCTGTTCGGGAGGGAGCCCCAGGATTTGAACCCAGGAACAGTGAAGGAACGGCCGATATATTTTCAATTTCTCTCGCTCTTTGAAGAAACAGACAGAAATGATGGGTTAGAAAAACCAACTGATGTCCCCAGCACTGGGCTGTAATCCACCATCAGCCTCCCGACCCACTCCCAAAACACCCACCAAGCCCATTCACTGACATGTCCCTCTGCCAATCTCCCATTCCACCCATTCCTGGGGCGCTGAGGTACAGGCACATTCAACAGGGGGGCAAGATGCAGGATACCGTGGGGGGTAGCGCATTGGAAATTAGAGTCATAGAGCCGTACAGCACGGAAACAGACCCTTTGGGCCCAACCAGTCCATGCCGACCATAATCCCAAACTAAAATAGTCCCACCTGCCTGTGCTTGGCCCATATCCCTCCAAACATTTCCCATTCATGTACTTATCCAAGTGTCTTCTAAACATTGTACCGACATCCACCACTTCCTCTGGAAGTTCATTTCACACATGAACCGCCCTCTGTGTAAAAAAATTGCCCCCATGTCTTTTTAAAATCTTTCTCCTCTCGCCTGAAAGTATGCCTAGTCTTGAAATCTCCAATTTAGAAAAAATACATCTGTCATTCACCTTATCTATTCCCCTCATAATTTTATAAATCTCTCTCAGGTCACCCCTCAAACCTCCTATGCTCTATAAAGTCACCCCTCAACTTCCTACGCTCCAGTGAAAAAAGTCCTGCCCTATCCAATGTGTTTTTATAACTCAAACGCTTCAGTCCCAGCAACATCCTGGTGAATCTCTTCTGAACCCTCTCCAGCTTAATAATATCCTTCCTATAACAGGACGACCAGAACTGGACACAGTACTCCAGCAAAGGCCTCACCAAAGTCCTGTACATCCTTAACAAACTGTTATTCCCATATATCGCAGAAGTTAAATATTTCATCAAAATATGCAAATTTACCCGTACGATTGAGAGGCAAACAGGAAACACGGGCCACCATGCAAGACTGACTACTGATTACAAATAAATAGATTCCACTTACAGGTAAGCAACTGTGGACTGACAATATTAACTCACCCGGACTGAGAGAGTGCTGGATTGTCAGAGGTGCTGTCTTCGGGATGAGACCCTGTTCTACCATCTCTGACATGTCAATGACTCCCACCTCCTTTTATTGGAACAACT